GAATAGCTCTGAGCTGCTTCAACATCGAAGCTCTAGACTGCGCTATCTCTTCTTTGGCCTTTCTGGATACTTCTTCCACATTGATTCCTTGTCTGCGCTGCATTCCAGCCTGTGCTTCGGTGTAGGCCTCGCCATAAGAAACACCATTGATAGTGCATTTCTTGAACTCCATGATATTCTGAGTCAAGGTACCGGTCTTGTCGGAGAAGATATATTCAATCTGGCCAAGGTCATCTGAGATATTCCAAGATTTGGGGGTGCAGGGGTATTCTAATTTTTCATAGTACATGAAGGTATCGCTGTGAATGAAGACGGCCTGGAGAGTACGAACGATCTCAAGAGAGACAAAAAGAGAGATCGGGACAAGGTTCTGGAACAGGATAAGGGATGCCCAGAATGTAATGATTCCATCGACACTGGGTTTGCCGCCATATGACCCATACTCGAACCAGTCCAAAGAATTGTCACCTTGGCCCCACGTAGCTCCCTGCACGATGCCGGAAGTAAGACACATGGCAAAGAGTATGATAAAATTGTAGACGACGTTCCAATTGAGATCCTTTGCCAGCCGCGCGGTTTTGCGTGGGCTGATTCCAGTATTGAGCATAATCTTCGTTTGCAGGCCGGTAAATATAACAACTGCAAGGACCCATTCAGTGTTTCTCAAGTTGCAGCCACGAAGTAAGACGTTGTTGATGGTGATTGCTTCCGCCATCTCCTTTTCAGGGGAGTCCGGGTAATCAGGGTTAGCCTGCGACCACTTGATAGCACCGCTGTACTGGTAAAGATTGGGATGTGGTTGCTCGCTCTCAATGACGAATTGGGCTGCTTCACAATCTCTCGCGTGTTTGACGGCACGTCCGCAGTGGAGTGCCTGTCGCACTTTCAAGTTTGTTTCTCCATCGAGATTCTTGGTTTCAACATAGCAGCCACCGTCCGGGTCAGAGGTAGACAGGACCACCACATCAGCGGGAATTTGCTCTCCATTGTAGATTCGGATAAAGTCACCCACTTCTACGTTCTTCCAGTAGTCACGTTTAAATCTGGCAGATCCAGACGGTTGCCATGACTTGTTCAGAATACTGCCGTAGAACTTGCTCGGGTGTGTCATTGGGGTCTCATTGAAAGGAGGAGGAGCGCGTGGTTCGGCTTTACCATTTCCATTGACGCCTGGGGACGGGAGGGGTGTCATTTGGATGTCTTCGCTGTCGTTTCCAGGACGGTCAGCCTGGTAGGACGGTCGGTAGGAGTAGGTTGAATTGCGGAACTCGGGCCGTTGGGTAGCTATCGACATTCGCGGCGTATCCTCCACGACCGGTTTGGGCTCGGGCTTTTCGCCCTTTCTCACACGCTTGAACCACTTCCAGGCCCGTCGGATCCCCCTCGTCGTCGCCTTCTTGATCCGACGCCATAGTGATACATTATCCTCGGTAGAATTGACGTTGTTCCAGCCTACAAGGCGGTGAATGGGCGAGTTATTCAAATCGTTATCCAGCACTGTCCTTCGCCAGTCTTCAACACCATCTTTCAGCGCGGTAACCGTCAGAATGGAGATAAGTGGCACTGCTCCCAGGCCAGGGTTGGTGGCACCGAAAAAGGAGAAAATCTGCACCAGTGCAACAGATCACAAATTGTCAATCTTGTATACAAGAATAAAAAAAAAGAAAAGAAAAGAAAAAAAATTGTGATGGCAAATGAAAGGGGAAACACTCACACTAAGGATGATGATGAACAGGAAGTAAACGTTGGCCATATTGTGAAATTGGTAGTACAGGTTCTTCGGGACGAAGCTGAGAGGAGTGTACTTTGCTGTCCGGACCTTGTTTCGTCCAAAAGTTATGGTCGACTTGCCGTTCTCGTCTCTCTGGTGAGGCGGCGGCGGTACGTTGACATAGATCCGCCGTCTGTCGGCCTCATCAGAGGCATCTGAGGGCTCGCTGCCATTGGGGAGGCTGCTGGTATTAGACCTCCGCTTCTCGTCCTTTGAACCTGCTCGCTGGTGCAGCTTGTCCATGATCGAGGTTCGCTTTCTCGAGCCTTGCCGGCCGGGACGGCGCTGGGTGGCCCATCGCATCCGCTTCGACGGTTTCGATACGTTCGACTCATCTTCGCTTCCAAACTGAACCACGGCCATGGCGTCCTAGCTTCTTCTTAGATATTGCATAGAGTATGACCGTCCAACTGGTCCTTTCTCTCTCTCTCTTTTTTCCCCCCTTCTTTTCGTATCGTATCCTTTTTCGTTTGTTGATTCAAGTAGTCGAGCCTGCGCCGGAGTGGTAGACGTAAGAGAAAAAGAAGAGGTGGTGATGTAAATAAAAAAGCAGCCGAAAGGGGTATAGAGACAGCACCGGAAGAGTAGGGAACGACCACGACGGCCAGGAGGAGAGCAGCAGACAGCAAGGCAGCCTGACAGGGCTCCCGCGAGGCCTTTGAGAATTGATCCGGCACTTGTACGCAGGGAGCGTGTGGACCAGAGGAAAAAAAGGGAAAGGGACGATGGTTCAGGAGAGCAGAGGCTGCGAGGCCGACGGGTCCATAGGGCGAATAGGGCGAATTGGCAGCGTCCGGGTGCCGACCAGAGCCAGCTGCAGGGCCGACTGACTGACTGAGAGAGCGAGAAGAGCGAGGTCTTTGGCGAGAGCAGCGTCTGGAGGGAGCGCGAGGCCGGTGGTAGGCAGGCGGCGGCGGCGGCGGTGGTTGTGGTTGTGGTGGTGATGATGATGATGCGTGGTGGCCACAGAAACCTTCGGAGACGAGAGAGACTGAGAAGAGACACCAAGCAAGACCACCCAGCGCAGGAGAGACGCCCAAACCAACCACAGGCACAGCGGCACAGGAAAAACAATAATCAGCAGCTTCTTCCGATGTCTCCGTCGCGGCGGAGGAAAAAAAAAACGAGGACGGCCGGTGCAGACGATGGAGGACGAGGCTGAAGACGAAGAAGAGCGAAGACGAAGACGAAGAATTACGGAGACGACCCAGAGTTGGAGCTCAGCTGGCGGTGGGCTCTGCTTGGCCAGTTACAGTGAGCGACCCTCGCGCTGGCTGTTGGTTACTTGTCCACTTCTCCAGCGGCTTAGCAGCGAGCTCCAGGCACCGGCTGGGCGCAAGGGGGCGGCGGGCCGGGCTCGTCCTCGCTGGCTGTCGGTGTGCCTGCGGAAGGCTGGCCTGGTACGGTGATGTCTAGACGTATACAGTATGTCTGCTTGCTACGGGTGTACTGCTATTGCTACCTGCTAGTAAGTTGCTGCTGCGTCGGTGTTGTGATGCTGCTGGCTAACCACCGTGACGCTGACAGCCGCCCTGTGATCCATCCGAGACTGCGCTGTTCAACCTCGGCCACGGTGTGGATGGCCTGCCTGCCTGTCTGTCCGTCCGTCTGGCTGGCTACGGGCTGGCGGAGTTTTCAATATCCGTCGTGGCCATGGCCGGTGGCAGAGTATGGGGAAAAACAAGCAAAACACCATCCGCGAACTCGCATCAGGGGTGATGCCGCGCCAGGGATCATGCATCCATCCGTCACTCGCCCCCTGTTCCTTACACATGCCTCGCATTGTTATCTCAGAGCCCGCATCCAGGTAGCCAGACAAGCCAGACAAGCCAGGCAACCAGACAGCTAGACAGACAGACAGCCAGACAGCCAGACAGCCAACCGACACATCATTAACGCCAACTTTGCTGTCGGCCTTCCTAGAAGAACACCTTAACGGAACGACCGGCTCAGCCGCCAGTTGTGGAGGCTTCGTCCGTCTCGCTCGGCCTTCCACCTCAGCGGCTTGATTATTAACTAGCGAAGAGATCCTCCTGGCAAACATTAAATATTGGATAATTCCATGCAGAAATCAACTAGCGCGAACATCAGGAATGCGAGAGAATGCGAAGAAGAACTGCTTCGGCACAACCTCCGTATCAGTGCTCTTCGCCTATCGCTGTTAGGGGTCTTGCGGTACGGAGTACAGTGTACTCCGTAGTTGGCCCTGGTTAAATTGCTTCGTGTTTCCTCCGCTTGGGCTGCAGCATATCTCGTGCTTCTTACGCGGTTTGAGGCTGCCATCAACTTGAAACGACGATCCGAATTGCGCGTTCAACCAAGACGCTGTGCGTGTGTGTGGACCAGTGTCGTGCTGTGCCTCGTATCTCATGTACGGATCGCCAGCCTGCTTCTCGCCATTCTTAAAGCCGCTCTGTCCGACCCTGGGGCCAATGCTTGTGACGGTTGAGGCGGCTCGGGTTTTTTCCTACCCGTTAACCACTTGGCTATGACGTTTGTCTTGCTGGCATTTATGGAGCAGTTATATATTACTTCGAGATGGTCACCATCTTTGGTGTGATATCTTATACTCCATATGGCGAGTGTCCAATATAATGGCTGGAGAAGGGGCTCAGTGTGTCTCCAGTGCTTCCACAGCCTTCTCCTCCTTCAAGGAATCATCCTCTTGGAAACATCCTTTAGGCTTGCGGTATTAATCTAACGCGGCTTGCGATCCTTCAGTTGATCTTCGACTGGTATATGCTCTCTTAGCCATGTGGCTTTTACTTACAACTTGCAGATAGGCTTCATTGTGTATCGATCTGATATGCTGGGTTGATATATTAGCAGTGAAGAGTCGTACACACATCCGCCTGACAAGGAGCCATCGGGTTAGGCGTACTTGATGGCTTTGTTTGCTGTTCAAATGAGGACGCAATTGATCAGTGTGGTGTTTCGGACGCTTCATAGCAATAATGACATCACAACTTACAGACAACTATCAAGATTTACCAACTTGACAAGCGTTATTTATATATATTTATAGATAAATATAGCTAACTACTTTCTGTAATATAGTTAGTTCAATAGTACTTAGGTGTTATATTCAACCTCGGAAAATAGCTAACGTTATTCCTAATTTAGTATCACGTGATATCTCAGATTAGAAATAGGTTCTCGCAAAGCGCGTCTCGAGCGCCCAAAAGAAGAGCCAAAAAAGCCGACTATAAAAGCAAAGAAATCCTATATAATGAAAGAAAACCACAAGATATCCTTCTATTTCAAGCCCGCAGAGTCGTCTCCAGAGCCACAACCTGTAGCGGGCGTGAAACGGCCCAGTAGCAAAGATGGGCCCTGCTCTTCGTCACCACTGACTTCTTGCCCGCCAGACCTCTCATCCCCCGTCCAGCTTACCTCTTCTCTCTCAGAGCCCAAGCAGGAGCAGGTTATACTACAGGACCGCTCAAGAAATGATAGCTCTGGCGCTGCCGAGACAAGCCATCGCCAGCACACTCCCATGGATGAGCCAGCTGTCTCGTCGTTCACGACTGTTCCCGGCTCCCAGCGGGTGTTCAAGGACGGGCAGATTGTGATCACAGCATCTGACGACGATGATGATGACTACTCTATTAATTCCATTGCCATATCTACGGATGAGCTACTGGCTAAGTTCTTGGGCACCTCGGGCCAGAATGAAGGCTCAGATACAGACATGTCCGGTTCAAAGGGCCGGAAGCGCTCGAGGGCCAAACCCAAGCCCGAGTCCAAGGAAACCCAGACAGCCACGGCCAGAACAACACATAAGTTCTCCCTAGATGACCTCGTAGCAGATGCCATGCACGACAAGGAGAGAGAGGCCCAGGTGTCGGCTGCAAAAGTGCTCATCCAGGAATCCATGGGCAAATACAAAACCAAGGGCAAGAACCCCACTGATAAAGATGATGTATATGCCTCTTTAGTTTCAGATACCTCGGATCCAGTTGCTGCTCGGCGACTGAAGGATGCAGTGCTGCGGACAGAGGCCCTTCGACAAGGTATAAGTTGGTCCTTCTTTCGTGATGATCCGCCAACTGTCGATGTTGAGCCTTTCCCAATCCTGTCAGTAGATGCTGGGTCTTGGGAGGGTGTCCTCAGAGGTGAGATGTCGTCTACTACCGGTCGTACATTATCTTTTCTATCATACTAAATCCCGCAATAGAACCTTCTTCTCGTGATAGAGCGTTTCTATCAGGTGTGGTTGGGGAAGTGCAGAAATACATCCCCTTACAGAATGATGTTTTACTCTGGATTCTACAGTCAGGTGTGAACTCCTATACCCCAAAAAAAGATGAAGTATTGATTATGTGCACTGCTAACTGGCAACCAGTGGCTACGGAACCACGAGATGAACTTCGGTTTGCATATATCAGTACTCTTCAAGTTCGTTAGCCTAAGTCTACCCTCTATATAGGTTGATCCCAAGTTAATAATACGCTTAGGTTTCTCCTGAATATCTGATAGCTTCTCTCGTCCAACCTTCGCATATTGATCGCTTGTTTGCAACGCTGGGGGCGAAAAGTAGCGCGCTAGATGCTGCAAAGCCTCTAGTGCCTGATACTCGTAATGTTGATGAAGAAGGTGAGTACCCCTTTACACTAAAATTTAGAGAGTTGATTCCTCTGATCAAAATTTTTCAGAGCCATTACCCCCTGTAGACAGGAAATATTTATTATCTGTTTTAGCACTACTTTCTAACATAGCTGAAAAGTGAGTCCATCATCCTCATCTGTCTTTTCTTGCCTTCCTGCTAATAACTGTATCTATAGACTAAATGCATTGACTCGTGAACATACGTTGAAGATCCTATGTCGCTTAGCTCTCGACGAAACTGTCATGAACGATGGAGCGGTCTGTGCTGAGACACGACGAGCAATTCCTGCGTTATTTGGCCAGACAAAGTCCTCTGTTCTACCAGAGGCTAATGTATGTCTTCCAATAAATTTGCTTGTCCGTTGGTAGGCTAACTAGTTCCAGGCCCACGAGTTAGCCCAAAATACTTATCAAACATTCAAAGATACAACTCTCCAATGTCTTCTACTTAAAAATATACCCCCAATAACCCCAGAGATTTCCTTGTTCAGATGTCGTCTTGCATCCGCCTTTCTGTTCATGGATAGCTCGCCACTCGATAAGTCGGACTCCGAACTGATCAACCTACGGAAAATCAGCTCACAATTAAAAGGTGAACGTTTTAAAGTTAACGAACATCGGCCGGAAGATAAGGAGCCATTTGACTTTGCCAACTTAGCTGCTTTAACCACAATACTTGACGTGGCGATTGACTCAGGGACTTTACAGCGCTCTTTCTCAGATAAGGAGGGGGAGATTGAATTTAATAAACAGGTGGATAAACTTGCAGATCGAGTGAAGGCTATATTTACTGCTATTCAGGATTCTGGTGCCTCACATATGAAACGCACTGAGGCCAAGGAAAGTCTGCAAGCACTTCATTATCGGCTTGTCTATACTGTGAGGACTAAACCCGTCTTGAAGAAGTCATATTTTGTTTCCTCGAATGACGATGGCTATGCCGGGGTTAGTGGAAAGAGGGATATTTTGGAAAAGTTTCTCGGAGTCAGATGAAAGCAGCAGCCTATGACGAAGATATGTGAGATGATACCGGACATTTCTGCCATTTCCATGGTATATATAGATGAAGAGCCATGATACCAAAGCGGGAGGACGTGTAGAATAAAATACAAGCGATAGCAATATTCTAAGTGGTCATTGGATCCAAGAATGGCTGCAGCTAGAGCTAGGTATACATCTGGCATGCTTCTAGTGTTCAATGGAGGGAAGGGAGATCCCCGTTAAGGTTGGGAGGTACAATGGTGGCTGACAGCTAGCTGACTGTGACGATGGCGGCGAGATTAGAGAATACAAATCGAAAAAAGGGAGGAGGGGTGTGAAAGCCCGCGCAATGCTCAAAAAAAAAGAAAAGGAGAAACAGGGTCGAAACGCCAGGGACGAATTAGTCGTAGAACTTGCGATTGGCGTTCTTGCCGAAGAGCATCTCTCTGACTGTGGGTAGGGAGTCTGCCTCCAGTAATCTCAGACGCTCTTCGAGTGTGTTGTTATATTCGATTTTTCCATTGCTCCCGAGAACGATAACACCACCAGCACTAGATTATACACTGTTAGCAAATCTACCCATTCAAAGTAACAAGGGGAACTAGACATACGAGTCTTGGGCGAGTGGTTCACGCTCATCGATCTCAACGGTGGCTTCCCTTCCAACCTTATCCTTGAACTCCTTGGAAGCATTCTCGGCAGCCTTTCTGACAGCAGCATAATCGGCTTTTCTGGCTCTAACCTGCACTTTGCTCTCGTTCAAAGCGTAGAGTCCCTCTAGAATAAGGCCGGCCAGTGTCTTCTCGTAGTTGGCACCCTTCTTTCCCGTGGCAGCAGTAGTAACTTCTCCTCTGGCCCGCTCGAACAATTCGTCCAGGAGTTGCTGTCTAGCCGAGAGAACCCGTAGACGAGTCTTGTTGGCAAGGGTGGATTTGGTGATCTGCTGCGACATGCTCGCCTGCTTGAACTTCTTCTCGTACAGCTGGTCGATAGAAGCAATCTCCTGTCGTACAAGTTTCGATTTTTCGATGGCGAATTCTTCATCCGCCTTGAGATTGATCTCTCTGGCCTTCTCGAGAGCTTCCTGTCGGATGAAGGCGGTCATCTTGCGGAGCTCGCCCGCGACCTACATGCAATGAAATCACCAGCCATCAGCGTCGGAGCAACTTGACTAATGGGTATAACCGAGCCCCGCGCAGGAAAAAACGTACCTGGTCGTCTGAAAGAGCATGGCTTTGAGACATCTTGAAGAATGCAATGGACGGGTTATGTGCAGTGGTCGTAGATAGGTAGGATGCTGGAGCTGGAAGGCAACAAGCAAGCTGCTGTTAGCGAGAAAGTCGACCAGCAAAACCAACGAGAACGGCAGCTCTGTAAATACCTGTGTGAAATCCTCCCGGCCGGTGTCTTTTACGGAGCACAGTTGCTGGTCAGCAGAGCGGAGATGCCGGCTGTCAGGTCGTTATTATTCTGCTGCCGTCGTTGCTCGATGGGATGGCGATGTTGATGTTGACGTTGACGTTGGAAGTCAGCGAGCGACGAGAGTGGACGGGGCCCGGTGGTGGAGCGTCACCTGCTCTGCTTCCCAACCACGGTGAGCTGCTCGAACGACCAGCATCCAACGTCCTCGCCAGCATCACCTCGACACATCACCCAGCGCAGTTGCAGCTATCACCCGGCCATGCCCTCACGGCCATCCTCTGCACTTCTGTCTCACCCTGCTAGCATATAATATAAATATAACTCGCTCATCGACTCTCGCGCGCCGCCTCGCCTCCACCATGTCCCTCGCCAGCCAGTAGCCAGCAGCTACGCACACACTGAAGTCATACAGCTTCACTGTCTTTTCCCCTTTGCTCTAGTTGAATACCAAATGCATGGGGATATTCGAGATGGGCCTCGGTCACCTGTCGCCTACAGGGGGCATAATAGTACGTTTCTGCCCCGTTCAGAGAGCTGTTTTGACGGGGCTTAATGCTGATGCGACTTGCGACTGGACGTTTAGATCGGTGTACTTGTCGGAGTGATATCAACAAGTTTACAGGCTATCGGACTTACGCTGCAACGAAAATCGCATATGCTCGAAGATGAAAAGTTTCCCTACGACACGCGCCGGCCGGCCTTTAAACGGAGAAGATGGCAGGTTAGTGGGGACATCGCCTCGATGCTTTGGTTGAATATACACGGAGATAAACAAGCAAATGGACATGACGGACGCTGACGGTGGACGATATAGATCGGAATTTTCATGTTTGTCAGTGCCAATATCGTTGGGAGCACTATACAGATTACGACGCTGCCTCTACCAGTCCTCTCTACCCTACAAGCTGTACGTCTCCGTACCCCCTTTATTGTTCAAACCCTTCAAGCTATGGCCTAACATTTTATCACCTCTCAGTCCGGCCTTGTTTTTAATACCATATTTGCAACTCTAATCCTAGGGGAGCCGTTCACGCGGTACTCAGTAATCGGAACATGTCTAGTATGCGCTGGCGCTATTCTGATTGCCACATTTGGAGCTATTGGCGAACCCGCCCACACTTTGGATCAACTACTTAAACTCCTTGTTCGGCCTGCGTTCCTCCACTGGATGGCTGGAACGGGTGTGGTTGTTCTGCTTTTAGTCCTAGGAGCTCGTGCCTTGAAGGTGTCCCCTACACCTGCCCAGGCAAGGGGATATATGTCCATTTGGTCTCCGCACCTCCATCACAGTCCCAGGATAAAGCTGGTACGTGGGATGATATACGGATCACTCAGTGGTATCCTATCAGCTCACTGCCTTCTCCTTGCAAAATCTGCAGTCGAGCTGGTTGTACGAACGATTTCGGATCAGGACAACCAGTTTGTCTATTGGCAGTCTTGGATCATCCTACTTGCGCTTGTTGCTTTGGCCCTGACTCAGATGTACTATATGCACCGCGGCCTGAAATTGTGCAGTACAAGTGTCTTATATCCTTATGTGTTTTGCGTTTACAACATAATCGCTATTCTAGATGGCTTAATATATTTTCACCAGGCCTCTCAACTTTCCGGGATACACGCTGGATTGATAGCCCTTGGAACGGTCATTCTACTGTCCGGTGTCCTTTGCCTTTCCTGGAGATTGGAAGAATCCCCTACACATCCCGGACAGGCTGCCGTGCCTCCTCCAACAAGCGCTATAGGTCCTGGTCTTGGTTTAATGGAGGAACCAGATGCCTCCGCTGCAACATACGCCGATTTCATACACCCCCATGACGAAGAATCACATCTGGGCGAGCGTCAACCTCTACTACATCATACACCCCGTCTCCGACAACCTTCCAGTCCCTTCAACCACCCATATCGAGCCTCCACCTTTTCACACAGACGTGCCACCAACCCAGGTCTAGAAACTGCAGAGATCTTGGCAGAGCTCCGAGACGACCAAAACGAAGATGACCTCGGCGGCCGTCGAGAGCTACTTGCTCGTTCGGCTCTCCTACCCCATGACTCTCCATCGTGGCCTCGTCGAGCGTCAAAACGACAACGGCGTAAGAGCACAACTTCCGTTTCAACCGGCCATAGACGTTTATTTTCTCTCTGGGGAACGTCCAGCGAGACTACGGTGCCTACAGGCAGTGACCGGCATAGCAGAAAACTCACAGATTCCAAAAGAGCAAGTTTTGCAGAGAGATCTTAGTTCCATCCAGACAGTGCTGCATCTCGGGGCCAGATACCTTTATCTGAGCCTGGTTGCACGTTCCATGTTTGGGATTTTCTGCTCCCTGGCAATAATGTGTACTCATATATGATCGTTTCAACACCCGGGAACTTTGTTGTATTGACCTGACAAAGATGCCCCCGATGATAAACGGAGTGAAAAAGGTGGCCTTTTTTTTGCCTTAATACCCCAAATATTGTATGTATTTAACGAGTAGATAGTCCTCGGATAATTCAATAGACGCGTTTCCTATGCCGTAAGTTGTAGGTGACCTGTTGTCGACAATGGCTGCTGCTTCATCCAACTACAAAATCTGACAAATTCTATGGAATGTATACTTATGGAATGCATCTCCTGCTCAGACCACTTATATCATGTTTGCGAATCATAGATACTGTTGTTTATGGCTATAGATAAAAGGGCGTAGCATTTAGTTGGCTCATGAACCACAACCCCAGCTATCTCAGCAACTTTTATACAAGCAGTCTGCAATCCTGCCCAGGGCGAATATGAAATTGATTTGAGCGACTTTGGATTAGTCGCTATGGTCTAAGGCCATGAAACGAACCTGAAACCAGTCACTCCTTTTTAGTCAATATCAAGTTTAACCGTGCAGGGGCACCCTGAGACTCCACTGCAAGCCCAGAATTCACCGAGCCCAATCGATTGGCCAAAGTTTCCAGCTTCTGGCGCCCTAACCATCCAGCATTGACCACAAGTGTGTTTGATATCTGCAGTCCAACGCCAAAGAGAAGGCTCCAGGTTTTGCTATTTGCCAGTTGGTAGAGTGACACATCCCTTTCATCGAGCGACACCTGCCTTGTAACTTACAACTTCACCACAAAGACAACCTGGCTGATCGACTGGCTACTAGTTTATGCAGTGAAAGAGCGGACTAGCTCGTATAACAGGAAGATATACACCGAACATTCTATAGTTAGTTAGTATGTACGTGATATCGAATGTCACTGTGTCTCTTCCCATTCTACAGCTCTATATAAAACCCAACCGCGTCTCGCAGCTTTCTTTTTTCTTTTGAAATAAAGACAGAAGAACACTTTCTTACCTCTGTCATAGGTATCTCCACCCCGCATTACCAACTTCGACTCACTATGAAGACTGTGCCATTTCTCTCGCTGCTCCAGGCAGGAATATTGACGTCTGGAATAGTGGCGCAGAACATCGCTTTTGTGGGCAGCAACGCCAACGCCATAGCAACCGTTAGCTTTGATACCAAGACTGGAACTTTCAAGGTTACCGGAAACAACACAGATTCCAGCACGCCGTCATGGCAGGAAGTCTCGAAGGACGGCAAGATGCTGTATTCTATCGAAGAGACATCGACTGAACATGCCTTGACGAGCTACTCTATCGGTCAGGATGGGAAACTGAAGAAGCTGAAGTCTATCAAGGGGATGGCAGGACCTGTCTCCTTGGACATGCACCCTACCCAGCCTATAATCATCACTGCAAACTAGTAAGTTGACTATTAATAGGTGCCGTGTATGGAGTACATTTTGTGTATGCACTAATCCAACGGTAAACTAGCGGCTCAGCGAGTGCTTCAGCGTACTCTTCAAAGGACAACGGCGAGTTCACCCACCTGGGGGACTTTATGTTTAAAATGCAAGGCAAGGGGAAGGTACCAGACCGCCAGGACGCTCCTCACCCGCACCAGGCGCTCTTCGACCCAACCGGCAAGTTCGTGCTTATGCCAGACCTAGGCTCAGACCTGATCCGCATCCTCAAGGTAGACGCAGGACAGAAATTCAGCGTTGCACCTCCCAACAAGGTCAAACCGGGGACTGGGCCTCGCCATGGCGTGCTGTATCCAGCCTCGGACAAGCCTCGGTTTTACTATGTCGTTGGCGAACTTTCCAACACGGTGACCGCGATGTCCGTCGAATACACGGTTGAAACGATCAAGCTTACCGAAATCCAAACCCTATCTACGCTTCCAGACGGGCAGACGGGGGCGGCGGGCGAACTCATCCTCTCGCCATCGGGCAAACACCTGTATGCCTCCAACCGGCTTGACAAGGTCTTCCCTGGCTCCAGCTCCGTCGCTTCGTATACCATTGACCAGATGACCGGCAAGCTGAAGCTGCTTGAAATCTTCAACGGCGGCGTGGAGAACATAAGACACATGTCTATCCACCCTAGCGGCAAGTGGTTTGTGACCGAAGGCCAGAATTCGAACGACATCAAGGTATTTGCACTTGACCCTGAGACCGGAAAGGTGACACCGGAGGCCAAGTCTACGCTGGAGATAGAAAAGCCTGTTTGCCTGCAGTGGTGGCATAACGGTGCTCAAGAGAGTGAGGCCCCCGAGGCTGGCACGGAGACTGAATGCGAATATGATGACTAGATGAGCATCTCAGCATCTGTCTGCGACCTCGAGGCTAAGGGCTGGCCCTGATGATGTTCTTATTCCTTCTACATTTTATGATAGTAATTAATGATACGGTCTTCTGCACGTTCGTAGACTAGACATGAAAATAAACACCCACATAGCCTGCCCCCATTAGCCGCTTTGCCCAAGGTTCCTCCTCGACTGCCTAAACAGCCGAGGCAAAAAAAGAAGAAGAAGCGCCAAGACGAGTTGACCAACAGAGAATTAGACTTTGCTTACCTCAGCATTAATCACTTTCTTACATAAGCTGAGGGCAGCCTTTCTTCTTCTTCCTCAGCTTCTCTTCAGCTTGCTCTCGCCCTTTGCGCTGTCCTGGCGAAATACGAAGGCGAAAAAAAAAAAAAAAAAGGGCCTGATCGCTTGATCGCTGGCCCACCCCGACGCTAAAAAGGACAGCCGGGAAGTTGGGTGCAGAAAGCAAGGAGATCTCCAGGCGGAGCAGATCTGATCCAGACGGGCAGCAAAGCGAGACGGGGAGACGACGAGCAAGAGAGCAGCGAGAGACGAGGCCCCCGGGCCCTCCAGCCAGGACAGAACCGGCCTAGTTCCCGTGTTCCCCGTCATCCCAGAAGCGCTTCCAGAAGGCAGAGAGGACTTTGAGACTTTTGAGGGCCGCGGCGTGTTTGAGGGTTCTGCATGCTCAGCAGGAGGCGCAGCTGGTGAAACGCCGATCTTTTTGTCTTCCCGCGCGCGCCCTCGACTCTTGACGCTAACTAAATGCCGACCTGTCTGCTATGTATACACCACTTGTCGACGAACCCAGCGTAATAGAGAGAAAATAATAATAATGATAATAATAATAATAATAATGTCTAGACTTCTTTTAACTCCTCTTCTTTTTTTTCTTCTCTGCGTGGCAAAAGAGAGCGTGGCTATAAATAGCATCAAATAGCTGTATTATATAAGCCGCCGTAACAAAACGCCACCGTAATACGGTACAGCCCCGGACGCGGCGTCACGGCGGGCGATACGGCGGCAGAACCGCGCCGACAATCTTCCGTGTCAGAACTAGGCAGGCGGTGAGCGCCCCCCTTCGCCGGCCGCCCGCCCTGGCGCTTTTCCTATTTCTTCGCCTGCTCGTCGCCCTTTTCGCCCTTTTTTCCCTCTTTTACTCCCGACCTTACCCAAACCTGTCACTCTTCCCACCCCAGCGCGTTACTCGATTCGGCCGCCCGTCCCTTTTCGCCCGCCAAACATCATACCTCTTTGGGAACAGCAAGCAACCAGCACCAGCACCAGCAACCAGCAACCACGCAACCACCGACCGCAGACGCTCGACAGCAGACTCACGACACAGCTCGCTTCTCGCCCCCGGCCAGCAGAGACCACCGCCAGCTCGCCGCCGCGCAGGACTGCCTATCGCCATGGCCGACGTCGCCGCGGTGCCCCAGGAGAATCCCTCGCCCTCGCAGGACGACCTCGTCCCTCCGTCCGGCAACGGATCGGCCTCCCTCGACTCTCGCAAGCGGCCGCGTCCTGCGGCCGACGACGACGACGACGACGATGACAAGCCCGGCCGCGAGCGTCGCAAGATAGAGATCAAGTTCATCCAGGACAAGTCCCGCCGTCACATCACTTTCTCCAAGCGAAAGGCCGGCATCATGAAAAAGGTTGGTTGTTGGCAGATCTAGATCACCGCGTCCCCATCACCAATCTCCATCTCCATCACGATCACATCTTCGCGCGCACACACCCATATATCTATCTATCTATATATATATATCTATACAAATAACCTGGGCTAATGTGTTCGATAGGCGTATGAATTGTCGGTCTTGACGGGCACGCAGGTCCTGCTTCTTGTCGTGTCCGAGACTGGGCTCGTCTACACATTCACGACGCCAAAACTACAGCCGCTCGTCACCCAGTCCGAGGGCAAGAACCTCATCCAGGTACGCCCGTGGCACACCCACCTTCTCATGAGCTACGACTAACCGATACAGCGCTGTTTGAACGCCCAAGAGCCTACGGGAACAGAGAACGGAGTCGAGGCGCCAGAGGTACCGGCAGACTCACCCGATGAGGTCGCCCAGGCCACCGTCGCTGCCCAGCAGCAGGCCGCCGCGATACCGCCCCGTCCACTGCATCCAGGATACAACATGGGTGGCATGACCAACGAGCAGCAACATCAGATCGCGTACTACCAGAATCTCCAACAGCAGCAGCAACAGCAGCAGCAAGCACAGGCTGGAGGTCAGTATTCGGGCGTGCCCGCTGGTACGCGTATACCGCAGCAGTCCACCACCACCACCACCACCACCACCACCACCACCACCACTTAACCTTCTTCTCACTTCTTGATTCCTTCCTTCTTTCCATTTCTTTTTGTTTCTTTTCTATCCTTCACTAACTCTGTTCCATGCAGAATACTAAAAAGGGAAAGCAAATATGTCACCTCTCATCTCAAAAGAAAAAACACGACTCTCACCTCTCCTACTTTCTTCCTTGGCCGCGAATTTCTAGACCGGCCGAGACTACATCTTTTTTTTTTCTCTCCTACCTACAGCCTGTATAGAGGGAAACCCATGGGAACACTCGTCTGTCCTTCTTCTCCTCGACACCGTCTCAAAGTCTCCCTCCTGTTTCCTTCATCTCTATATCCTTTCTAGAGTTATAGCCTTTCCCGAGCCATCCCGTCTCAGGTCAACGTTCCGCCGACTTCCCACACAAACCAGGGACCCATTTCCTCCCTCTCCTGGTACCTCTTGTCACCTTTCAAACCTCTTCCTTTTCTCCTCCTCTCGGCGGAACTAACAATAAGAACGCAACACCTATGACACCCAGTGGATATGATTACTGTTATATGATACCAATTCAGCGGTGGATCCCTTGAGATCAATATTGTCTACTTTTTATCCCGCATCTTTTTTTCATCGTCCTCGTTCCCCCTCTTCCCCTATCTTTTCTTTTCTTATCACCAAACATATTACACACGGGGATGGGGGTTTTATATCGGAAACCCAGGAAAGGGTGAGGGGTTCTGGTGTTTGTTCTGTATCTCTTTATGATAAACGTGTGCCCCCTTGACTTTGCTTGCTTTCTTCTTTAGCACTCTTATATGCTATTTCTACCCGTCGATGTACCGTGCTCTTTCCCATCTGGTCGCTTCTTTGCTCTTATATCTATCTCACTCTATATTCCGATCGGTTTCGTTCAGAAGGGAAAATGGACGAAGGCATGTCTTATAACAAAAAGGTGTCACCTCGTGTTTTTATATCGCCCATGATCGTTCCCGTCTCTCTGCGTATACTGGCTTCCTCTTATCATGGTCTTAGCATGATTTTTATCAAGAAGATGTATAATTCACTGATCTATACTTAAAAAAAATACGTACTGCTCTTCACTCAGAATGTCCTTGAAATGTACAGTACTAGATAGTATCTTGTGCAAGATGGCGGTGCTACAACATGACTGGTCCGAGGCCCTTGTCACGATTTAGCCGCCGAGCTGCTGCAACCCGCCACCCAACCTAACCCGGCCCTACCAATAGATCACAGCAAACATCAGTGAGCACAGCCAGGACGACAGCATGGGGGGACATATTATTTACCATGGCCCTCGTCCTGTGCCCTGTTTCTTCTGTCGTCTTGTCTGCTTCTTTTCCTGCTATACCCATATCACCATCGCTATAAGACCACCCGAACAACCATGGGTTTCGCCATCAACAAGGTCCTAACGGGGTACATAATCGCGGACCTCCTCTTCCTTCTGGGCGGCATCATCCTCCTTCTGGGCTCAAGGCTAGGCGAAGCAAGCCTCCATCATGAAAGAAACGTCGAGAACGCCATGAGGTCCCTGCTCATACCTCGTTGTCCCATAATCCGTTCGTCATCTGCTCAGCTACCCACATATTTAACTACTCAGTTTGCCAACCAAACACACACATACTTACATGTGCGCATCGGTATATAGCCTCCCTTGCCAATGCAATCTGCGTCTTCGCGGCCTTCCTCTGCTCGATACCGGTCATTGTGTTTCCGCAGAACGGAATATGGCTACGTCTTCATGGCTGGCTACTCGTCTTCAGCGGGATTTTCACCCTCAGCCTGGGTCTGAGTGTTTGGTATGAAGCTCTGCGTACCCGCTCGACGCTCCAGCCAATGTGGTCCAGGGAGACTGGTGACATACAAGGCCTGCTGCAGAAGAAGGTACGTCATTTTTATGCATCTTGGACCTGGTGTGACTGCTCGGTCTAACGGTGGCTTTGCATGATTAGTTCGATTGTTGCGGGTTTGAAAACAGTACCTCGCCACTATACCATTACGATTCAACCTGTATGTCGGATCTGCTTGCCGCACAGAAACCGGGCTGCATAGGGCCGATGTCTGATTATGCCTTTTCGTTCTTTGGCAATATATCTACTGCTACCTTTGGCATTGTTGGTACGTTCGACTCTGGGACTTTGTATCAGGCTGATGGGTTTTGATGGTGTGCTGACGCTGTTTTATGATAGCAATTGATGCCATTCTCCTCCTGTGTGTTGCAATGCTGTTCAAGGATCGCAAGGACAGAACAAGATATAGACTCATTGACGAGAAATACGAACTTGGCATGAGGCAAACATGAGTGCTGGGCCTTTCGTTTAATATTTATTTAACCCTTTTTCTTTTTCCGGTATACCAATGTATGATAATCTTTAACGACCAATATATTTAGAGAGAAATGTTTTAATTTCAAGTCATATCATTTGATTCTTTTGCTGTCCACAAAGCATCTGAGCCATGTTTACTCGTCCATGCTTCACACTATGCCATAATAATGTACACCAGACCCGCGCAATGATCTAACTAGGCTAATATCAACATCTTCCCCAAAAGAAGCTGCAACATTGTGCAGGGTGAAGATTCAAGGACAAACACATCCCATTCCACGTAAATGCGACGGAGAAATACTAGCACAAAGGAAAAAAGGAGAAAAAGTAGGGTTCGACAAAGGTACAAATGGAATAAAAAAAATAGTAATAACGAAAAAAAAAAAAAAAAAAAAAGCCATGTTTTGGCGCCGTTGACCAAAACGCCCCCCATTGTAGTTAGATGCCCGTCATCCCGTCCGGCATTAGAGAGAACTTGATCTGCTGCATTAAACAGAAATGAAAAATGGTATAGTTAAGATGGGTTTGCCCGATTTGGCGCATGAATTAGATGGGTAGTTGTAGTATGTGTAAATTTTCCAGGGAAGATAAGAAATGAAAGACCATTAAGTCCTTCCTTTTAAGCTTGGTAATTTGGTGGTAGATAACTCGCAGTGGTGTGGAAGAGTTCGTTGTGCCGTTACTCCAGTTATGTATGCAGAGTGGCGTGGTCGTTGGTAGTCTTTTTTTTTTTTTAAACAGGGTGACTCTCAATAAGAGATGGATAAAATGGAGGTTTTTGTTTTGGATATTTGGTATCGTGATAATGAGTGAGGAAAAAGCGAATTTATGCTTTTTGTTTCCCGGCTTTCCCATTTGCAGGAGTTTTTGAAACTTCTACCGAGATCGTATCTGCAGTAGTTCCGTTCTTCAGTTTGCTAGGTGCTGCGGGCTTTTGACTCTTCAGTTTCGTTGCCAGGCCGAAATCTTTCTTTTTCTTAACTGGACCGGCGGCACCTTCTTCCTCGCCTTCACGTACACGTTTTCGTGCGTTCGCAGGCTGCGATGGTCCAGGTGTACCAGCTTCGCTGTTGGCGAGGGGAGTGCGAATTCGGCTCTGTCGGGTTGAGATACCCAAACATCTGTCAAGGTGCTGGGCACTCTTGGTAAGAAGGAAGTACCGTGGGCAGTTGGGGCATTTGGTTGTAGGAACATAAACCTTGTCTGGTTTTGGCTGAAGAAGAGGGTTAGGGCCAGGAGTCTCGGGAATAGATGGTGGACTCGAGCCTGGCGTGCCCGCTGCAGGCTGAGTTTTCTTCTTCTTTGTGATTTTCTCTACGGCGAAATGGTGGCCGTGAACGTCCCTACCATGAAGGTTAACGGGGGGTTGCTTGCGACAGTATTCTCGGCTTGCATCCACTGGGCGTGACCCTTCACCGTATGCTGGATATAGCAGGCGGGGGAGACGGCAATTCGGACATATTATCTCCTTGACTGTTTCTAAGGGGTTACCCTTTAGGTAAACCTTTCCACTGTCGAAAATGGCGCTGTCGGTCTCTAGTCGAACTCCTCTGCTTTTTACTATGTGCTCGTGTGAGGCTGATGTACCAGCATCAGCAGTGCCGTTCGCCTCTTCGCCAGAGTCTTTAACCTTGGTTGATTCTTCGGCTAGCTGTCTTGCAGTGACAACTGCTGACTGCTGACGAGCAACCTTTTCTTCCTTGTGCACCTTTGCCACAATATCATGAATTATGTTATAGAACGTATCATCTAATATTTGGCGAGTCTGCTAGGAGTGTTAAAAATAACTCAAACCAAGACCCGTTCTGATGAGAGAATCACTTACGAATCTGGCAAGATCTGTAGAAGACATAGGATCACTTTTTGCAGCTTCTTTACTTTTTTCTGGGCCAGCCATAATTTGAGCTCCGTCTATTATACCCATAATGTTAGAAGAGATATCAAGAATGGCGACCACCAGGATTGAAAGAAATGGGAGATGTAAGAGTGTGATGTAAGAGTGTGAGTTATGTGGCGTAAGGGTGGGCAAAGCAAGAGGAGGGGAGCTATATATGGTGGGAAGAAGAGTATGTGTGTTGCTGAAAATTCGAGCGTTGGCCGATTGGTGTTATGAACAATAGCATCGTCGACTAACCCGCTTATTGAGAACTCAATGTCCGCCAATGCCAAAATAGGACATCAGCCTGACATGCTTCCATTAAGTGTCTTCATCCAAGGACAGCAGCCTGAGGAGCAATGGCAGGCCAAGCGCAGTACTTGTCAAGCTCGTTGAAGTGGGTGATGTAGTCGCCGAATCTCGGTACCGGAGTCAAAGGAGCGGTTCGGGTCCGGCGCTGGAACGGCAGGACGGCAGTGAAACTTGTCGAACGGGAAACGTACTGAATGGTATATCCAATCCTCGGTGCCAATTTACTGCGTCAAGTCGTCAATGTCTATCGCTACTGTTATAGCATCAGGCGGTTAGAAAGCGTTCTCGGCATTAGGGGCGATGCTAAGGGGAGGTTGGAGTCTTCCCGCGGAGGAGCTGGTAATACCTGTCTAACGGGCGAGACCTGAGCTCGCTGCTTACCCAAATAGTGTCCGGCGTCTCCCTACCAACGCCGTCCTTTATCGCTCACGCACAAGATCAGGATAGGAGAGGCCTAACTGCGCAGCGCCGTGATAGTCATCTCTTGATGGCTTCGCCTGCGGTGTTTTCCTTCTTGCGTCCTCTTTTTTTTTCGCCCAGCGTGCTTACGTCATCTAACTAACTTAACTAGTTGACCGCAGCTTAATCTTATCTTATCAATCTACTAGTTACGCTCCCACGCGCGCCGTCGGGGTGACTTTTCGCTGCTTTCTTAAACAAACGTCGAGTCATGAGCAACAACCAGCTGCGCCGACAGCGTTGGCTAAGCTACATAGCTATATAACAGCGGCTGCCCAGGGCTTACTCCGTCCTTTTATTCACCCAGCTAGCTCTCTTTCTGCGCAGGCAACAGCCAGTTAGCGCTCCGTTGGCCCGTCATGTCGCGTCTGTTCTCCGCATCCAGATCATCGCGGCCTTCCGCATTGCCCACCACAAACCCAGCAGCCTCTGGACAACATAACGCCGACAGGCCAGATAAAGCAGAACTGATATCTCCCGTTAAGAGTGGTCTGCCGCCTATGAAGCCTCAAACTGTCGTACCGCCTCCCCCAATATGCTCCTCTCCCGCCAAATCTAACCCCGCATTCCATAATCTCACCCCGTACCCTCATGTTGCGCCTCCTATATCAACTCCACATCCTCATGTCACCATCTGCCAGGTCAAGACTGCGCATGTGCCCTCGCTGATGCGAATAACGGGTTTGCTTCTGCCAGTTCGATACCAAAATTCGTTCTATACTGCCACTATAACTGATCCTTTTATCGCGTCCGTCTCGCGTGTGGCTGTATATCATCAACATCCTCTTTCAAATATTTACGGAACAGCATACCTAGCAGCCAAAAGCTTACCTTCCCCTCCTTCTCCTCCAGCATCCGGAATGGACAAGGTGGTAGGCGGTATACGGTGTCGTCTGGAGCCAGCAACGCTTCCTTACCCTTCTTCTACCGCCAAGGCAACAGCATTACGGCCTGTGGTTAATCTCTATATCCAAACCCTACTCCTCCTTTCCCCTTACCGTGGGACTGGCATAGCAGCATCCCTGTTAGACTCTCTCATATATGCCGAGGAACCTTACACTTCCAAGGACAGGTCCTCCTCCGATGAAGGGGAACGAAAATCGCCTCGACAGGTTTCAAATATGGTCAAACATTACAACATCCGTACGGTCACTGCACATGTCCATGAAACCAACGAAGAGGCCTTATCCTGGTATATTGCTCGTGGGTTCACAGTTGAAGAAGGCGTAATCGAAGGGTACTATCGTCGCCTGAGCCCCGGAGGTGCGCGGATAGTCAAGCTAGAGCTGACTTGGGAGGACGAAGAGAGTACTACGGATGATAATGTCCATACCTGCAACGAAGATGAGGACTGGGAGAAAATCGAAGCCCATGACTTGAACACTGGGGAGAAACTAGACGATTACCAGCAAGTTAGCCGCAGCTCTATAGATGAGGGAGAGTTTGGGCGGGAAAATGCTAAAAGAGTACGGAGAGGATAACTTCTCTGTTTTCACATACTCGGTAGAGGTGCTTTATATATCGTCCATTTCCCTTTTTATTCCAGGATACCCTCCTCTTAATGCCAACTTACAACCTTGCATGATACCCCTTAGTGCCTAAATTTCTATGATTCTTTGTTCAACTGCCATACTCCATTGTCTTACAGCCATTGTGCATATCGTAGATTAGAAGAGAGAATATAATTTGAATGTTTACTTGTGAAAGATAAAACGTTCAAAGGAAAAATTGCACTATATTATCAGTAGTCTGTAGCCGGAATATAATGCTACAAGCAACTATGTTCAAAATAATGCTAAGCTGATGCCAACAGGGATAATATCATTGAAGTCCTAGGTATTGGGAATATATACATTGCAAAAGTGGTATCGAGATTCTCGTTAGAGTGTATGTAAAGACAATATTTGAAAGGGGGAAAAAATTAAAATTAAAAAGGAGGGTATGGTATGTATATGGTGAATGGAGGATTGCATTGTGAAGTTCAGATTGCATAGTTTTCAGTATGCAAAAACAATTCATCTTTATTCGGGTCATTCATGACTGTGGTTTGTAGCTTGGCGACTGTATTTGCGACGTCAACCCGCATGCTCGGTGGCCCGCACACGAAAACACAGGTCCGTCGACCGAACTCCTTGGAGAATTGCTTCAACATAAAGGGTATGTCCGGTCTGCCATATTCTGTTTTCCAGCCGTCCCTTTTCTGCCTTGGGAAAAAGGCGAAGCGCATTAGATTCTTCTGTAGCATGGTCGGAGTGCTAGGAAACCCGAAGTTGGGGCCGTCATTCTCCTCTGGAGAAGACATCATAGAGTTGGGCGTCTCAGGGAAATATGGGTTAATATGCCCAGTCTGTATCCGTGGACGAGCGGCTAAGTGTGCGTTTGGCAGTGCAGAGATGCTATCCTCGTTCTCCCTTCGCAGCTCTCTTTCTTTGTCTTCATCCCCGCCAGCTTCTTCTCGAATATACGCAGAGTTTCTCTTGCTAGCAACCCCCTGAAAGACATCATTGAGTTTATCGTGGAAGTCGCCGCTTTGTGGACGTGGGTGAGAAACGACTTCGGCATTTTTGTCGTATCGTTTTGCGCCAGTCAGGTAGAAATTGCAAAACATGGAGTTGGGCGGTGCGCATTCACGACAAATGCGTAGCTCCTCCTTGAACCAGTCCATGGTGTCTGGTCGCTTCAAAGCCCATACAACTTTCACTGTTCTGGTTCTGGCCTTTCCATCACGCATTCTCTTGATCAGGTCAAGTAGCTGGCTTGCAATTGCAGTAATTCCGCTGCCACCAGCGAAGAACACAACATCGTCAAAGGAGGAGAGTTCTCTGCGAACTCCGCCATAGGGCCCATCTATAAAAGCCCTGTATGTTTTATAGGGCCCTTTTTCCAACGCTGTCTCAAGTACCCTTCTAGTAAACCCACCAAATGGTCGAAATACAAGGGTCATATCGCGGTATTTTGATCCATAGCTAGATGGAAAGTCGTCGCTGCAGAGAGAGGCAATGGTGAAAGGATGGTTTTGAAGCATAGATATTCCCGGCATACGGAGGTATACGTACTGGCCGGGCCTCCATTTCATTTGGGTAGGTATTGTGACCTTGACAGCGTTATCTGGTAAAATTGTAACCGCCGACTCTTCTCCAATGAGGAACGAAAGGCGGAATGGGTTCAACCAGTTTAAGTAGAACACCCTAGCAAGGTATGATACTCCCCAAAGAGCAAGGCTAGAGATCAAATAATGCCAGGAGGTGAGGAAGTTATTGCAGTGCCAAAACATCATGGCGATGAAAATCAGGGAAATTGGAATGTGTAAAGTGACAAAGAGTTCGTACATGCGGTGCCGCAATACTGGTAGAGAGTGAACGCAAAGGACGGCCAGCGGTACCAGAGCAGCAAGCCCCGATCAATAGATATAGTAGTCACCCCCGATAAACAAGGAGAATAACGGAAGTGCTCCATCCTCCCAGACCGGAGTAATGTAGAATGGGACCATGTGGACTAGGGCTAAGAAAAGGCAGAGATATCCAGTCCAGCGGTGGAGGACATTCAAACGTTCGTGGCCAATGCCGGTAAATACGCTGATAATATTTGGCTTTGTGCTTAGCGCAATGATCCATGGAAGCGTCGCAACAGCAAGCATGCCTGCTCTAATTGCGAGAGGAGGCGATCCGTCGGTGATGTGAGGATAATACAAAGGCTGGGGTAGGAAACAGTATAGTGTCACAAAGATGAAGGCAAGCAGGACGAGGACAGCAGCAGCTAAAGATGGGGGGACAATTTCAAGCTTTCCAAGCTTTATCACCGGCAGAGGGCGGTAGAATATCCATCTTGCAAAGGCGATTGAGTTGTTTACCCAGCCTATAGATGAAAGAGCCGAGTCTCGCTTAGGGGGTTGGACAAGCGGGCCGGTTGCAGGGAAAAATGCTCGATGGGAATTTGCGGGACTGGGTGTAACCAATTCATAGTCAGACTTGGGCGAGAGCGTTTGTCCAGGGCTGAATAATTCTTCTTTTCGAAGGGCGGCTCTAATCTTGTCTCCCCATATCTGGTATAAGCGGAGGAGAAACGTCAGGACAAATAGTACAATGCAGAAGTAGACCCAGCCCAGCGCATACTTGGAGGCTTTTGAGAACGGGTCTAGTTGCGATGTGGCAAGCTGCTCTTCGGTGGTTGCGCTGTTAATCGGGATATCTATGCGTTTGGCAAGTGACTTTGAATATGATTCTGAGCCTAGTATGGATGATATGAAGGACTCCAATTGCCTGGGCGGCATTTTTGCCCGTTTATCGAGAACAGGGCAGGTTATCAGGCAGTCGTCGGGATTAATGGAGTTGAATATTTTACTTCGTCAGAACGTCCTCGTGGGAACCAGAACAGCAGTTGCAAACGGTAGGTTACTAGCCCATATTTGTCAGACCGCGAACGATTCTAAATTCAAGTGTAATGGTTCTCCATACTCCATCCAGGTGTGTAAACTAGATATGAGTAGAATGGGGCTTTCTGATGTGGCTGCTTTGTCGCGTAGTCATCTTTTGATAGACTGAAATGATCCTGATTGCAAAGAAGTTGATGCGCGGTGTGGAAGGCCAAAATCTATATAGTTTGGGTAAAACGACGTCCGGCGGCTAGTACTCCATAAGTAGGTAGATGGGAGATCAAGTTTATATATGACATGAGAAGGCTGATTCATGAACTGCATAGATCGACATAGCAAGAGCATGAATTGCGGTACAGATAGTACTTAAGTAGTGTAGGGATGAGGGGGTTCCGACCGCCGATATATCTTACTTCCCACGTTCAACGGAAGTCAATGCAGTTTTGAAAAAGCAATTCATACTAATAACCTTCAAAAGGATAGTATTATTAGCGTGATTTCACTATAAACCAATGCAAAGCGATTGTGTGGTTTCTGCCAAAACTAAGAAGATAGCTCCCTACGAAAAAGGGCAGTCGAGGCGTCACAAAAATGCCTTTGGATGGATTGCGTCGGCCGATCGCCCATCAACCAGCATGGTCACTCGAGTTATTGATTGAGCCTGGGGTGGAAAGCAAGCATGATCAAGCTTTTGCATGGTTGAGAAGAGACCAGGGGTATTGCAAAGATTAAGGATAGAGCAAATCTGCCTCAAGCGGCTGGCTATGTCAGCAAACGAAGCTGTACTCAATACCTTCATTCTCGAGAAGAGAGTGGCGCCAAGATGTGAAGGAAATGCAGCATTCACACAGAGCATGAATGAAGTAAAGGGACCTAGCGAATAGGAGGGCACAAGATGATCGGTTAAGGGCCACGGATCAGGGTTGAAGGGCTTTTGTGGCGCCGGATATCGATTGGCCGCAGGCGGCTGCCCCTCCTTCATGACGTCCAAACTCAAATACGGGATCAAGGATCAGGGGAGTGAAGGGCTTTTGCACCGGATAATCGGGTTCTCTCTCAAGGGAGGACCTCAACACAAAAAGGCACTGCCGCTGAGATGTCACCATGTAGCCGCTGTGCAACTTCCATGGGGTGAGATCGGGTCCACAGCCTTGGGCCGACTGTAAAATCTTGTGACCATGCTCCGTGCGCCGGTTATTATTGTACGAAGTATGGCCGTTTCGACACCAAGTTCGAAGATAGAATCTTCTGCACAGAGTGAACTCACGCCCGTGGCTGTGCGTCACGATCTTAGCCCATAGCCAGGCAAGCAGGCTAGCGGCGAGAGCTAAAATGAGTCCCACAGGCCTACAACGACCCAGACAGAGGACTGGGGGTGCAGTAGCAAAGGAAGCCCAGGCAGAGAGAGATGCCGTCGTTCCTCGGAGCGCTCAGCTCCTCAATCGCCAACACGATAAATGGCACGCCTATTGGCCAGGTAGAAAACGAAGCGCTGAAGCTCCGTCCCATTGTACGACTGCCGCTGATGATCACTCGAAAGGATCTTGTCCAATCAACAGGGGTAGATAGTATTCAGAGGGTGATGGGCTGTGAAATCTCATGCATTAGCCCCTCCGCTAGTTATAGTTATAGTTGCGCACATCCCGAAGACCAGCATCTGTGTGTCCCTATATCGCGAGCTGGTTGATGATGGCGAAGACTGGGCTCATCCTCGAGTACGGAGTAAACGGCACACCGTTACATTAGCACCTCTCTGGGCTCTGTCCGCGGAAGCCCTTGACGGAAGTCCAAGTGTCGATGTTTTGTTGCTTGCTGTTGCTTTCTCGATGTTGTTGATTTCTCTTTTCCGATATTTTCATTGGCTAAAACCAGGATTCAATCACGTGAGTGATGGAACATAAGGTAAGCGCCAAGACTCCTCACCGCCTTGGTACCTTGAACTTATTCTGCCACAGCGACTTTTCTTAGAGAAAAGAAAGCTGGAGGACGATGAGATAAGAAATAACTACTGTTCGGAGTCAACGGCGGCATTCTGGAGCGATGGCAACGGTCAATGTAGCCGTAGAAGCGCCCTCCGGAGTACCCAGCTCTACTCCAGCCTTTTCGATCTCTCCCGCACACCTGGCACAGCTCCAGCCACATACTTATGCACTCGCACACCTCCAACCTTCCCCGTCCAGCTCACGGCCGTCGATACGAATTAATGGCAGGACGGATACGCAGTTTCGGCCAGCTTCTGTGAGCACAGGCTCACTTACCCACACCAATGGCAGCGCGGTTGTTCGGATGGGCGACACCGCAGCTGTTTGTGGCGTGAGGGCAGAAATACTCCATACCGATGATATTGCCTCCTGGAAGGTCGCATCGGAGCTGTCTTCGAGAAGCGCTAAACGAAGGAAAACCGAAGACGCTGGTGCAAAATCTGGACCGAGCCCGGTTATAGATAACGAAGATGACGATTCGGATATCCAGTCATTCAATTTACTTGTTCCCAACTTGTCATTAAGCACCGGTTGTTCACCCAGCATATTTGCTAGTGCTCCACCTACAGCTCTGGCGCAGTCTCTATCCCATCAACTTCTTTCTCTTCTTCACAGCTCGAATCTGATTTGTGCTGAAGACCTACGGATATGGTATACCCCAGATCCAGCCAAGGCATCCGAGACCACCAATGAGGATATCGAGATGGATGATGGGAATGATAATTCCACCCAATCAACAGCCAAGGGCCCAGAAGTTAAAGCTTTTTGGACTCTATATATTGATGTCTTGATGGTTTCACTTGCAGGGAACCCGTTTGATGTAGCGTGGGCAGCAATAGTGGCTGCACTAAAAAACACCAAACTGCCCAAGGCATGGTGGGATTTAGAGAGCGAGAGAGTACTATGCTCTGATAGAGTTTCTGAAGCCAAAGGCTTACGACTACGTGGCATGCCGATTTCGAGCTCATTCTGCGTTTTTGAGGCTCATGGAATGGACGATTGGAGGCGGGTATTTCTTCCGTTTGACCAACAAAAGGGGAAAGGGAAGAAATTGGACGGCTCAGTTTCTAATGATGCGGATGAAGCTTATGATAAATGGATATTAGCGGATCCTGATGCGTTTGAAGAGTCTTTATGCCCAGAACGTGTCTGTATTGTTGTGGATCTCACCTCGTCAAACTCCATCGCTAAAATAGTGCGTCTGGAGAAAAACGGCGGATTTTATGTGGGCAAAGAAGAAATAAAAGATATTGTCAGCTTAGCCACTTCGAGGTGGAATGAATTAAAGATGGTATTAGAAGGCTGAGTCTCGATCTACAGTCTGGAAGTCACTCAAGATAACGCCCGTTTTAACGGCAGGGAAACAAATGAAAAATGAATTGATGAGCTTTTGTATTATAACCACAGTATCTATCCTCAAATTCTATCATAGCATCGTCAATTCTAAGGTTGGCGCAATACAAGTCAAGCTCCAAAAACGCCTAAAAAAATCTGCACATTACACTGACCACACTTCAGTGGGTGGGTTTATATCCTCGCCTTTTCTTCAATGGGCGTTCTTCTTCCTTAGCAACAAGAATTGGGGAGGAATTTGTCGATGGCTGTGGTGTTGAGACAAGTTTACCTTCCCCTAGCTCTTTTTTCGATTCTGTCTCTGTGATTAATGAGATTGACAGCGATATAAGTTCTGACTTCGAATGGGTCCTCTTCTCTTCAGAAGAATTTTCCTCGGTACTAGGAGTACTGTCTTTATTTCCATCACGATCAGGGTTTTCTGAGCTGGAATCCCTGCTAGAATCGCCGGCTTCGGCTGCGCTCTTCTCATCCTTCTCAGATATGCGAGTATCCCAGAAGAATGACAATGCCTTCTTTAAGATTCCCTCCATAAACGAATCGTTGGCTTCGGTTTTATTCGTTTCATCTTCGTTGCTGCCCTCGTCTTCAACTTCGTCAGAAAAGTTCCACATGGCCTGTATATCGCCTTTCGCAAATGCTGTACCCCAGAGAGAGATCAGAACCCCTGGCACAAGGAATAATAGCGCAGGCTGCGGATGCTTAGATAACTGCATCGACAATAATGTCGCGACTATACCAATAGCATATCCGATTAATCCAGCAGTAAAGTATGTCTTTGGGAATGATTTTGAATCAAAGTATTCTTTTTCATGCCGAGGAGCATTCGCTCCTTTATGCCCACATCCCCAGACCCTTTCACCCCACCCACCTGCAGCATTTTTGTACTCAACTCGGTTGTCATCCTTTGAGCTTGTTTGTTCTTGTTCTTGTCGACTTTGCTTTCTTAAGTAGTACAAGTAAAGGTCAAACCGCAAGGCAAGTCCGATTATCATTCCAGGTACCACAACATCGCCTAATCCTAGCGTTGCTTCTGCTGGTTTGCTCTCACCAGGGACAGGTGGACGTGGGAATACAAGCTTTATCGGAATATCAAGCTTTGTCGCAACAGTAACCATCATTGGTGTGTAGAAGACGAAGTATATGTCGTAGAAAAATAAGGAGCTTAGTATAAGGGTTCCAGTCCAGAATGTAGTGGGTGACATGAACTGGAGTGCACCATAGGAAAAGCAGAATCCCAGGAAGTTTGTTAGCCACCATGGGCGCGAACCAAACACAGAGAACTGGACCACGATGCCAGAGAAAATAATACTAAGTACGTCGATGATGTTGAAAGGAAATTTAAGATCCACAAGTGACCGGATGTAAGCCTGGAAGTTCAATTTCTGATAGGAAGCTCCCCGTAAGCTCCAGAGATAGATTTGCACAGATTCTGCGAGGGGGATTGTTCCCAATATACCCGGTAATGGCGACGGACGGGTGTTAAGGGATGAGCCTTCTGAAGCCACTGCTTCGTAGACTCGCTTTTCCTGGTTAGCCTTCCACAGAGTACCACGGTGAAAGTAGCGGGTAGGAAAGGCAAAGGATCTGAGTATCGTAATGGCATCCCGGATGAAAGCTATACCAAATATAAAACTGGTGTGCGAAAAGTACCAGTTTAAGATCTTGCTCAAGTATTTGGTGTCAAAGTTTTTTATCAGGAGATAGAGACCGCTGAGCGTGAGGCCAGATAGAACCGGAAATACTATAGCATCTGATGGCTCCAAGCCACCCATCTTTTGGACAACAGCTTCATCCGTATCATCCTCTTCTTTGTGTTCTTTGGATTCCTTTTTGGCTGAAGAGGGCCTTGAGAGTGAAGCATGACAGCCAATATATAGAGCAAACAGTGTAGAAATTATGAGATGGGTATATGTGGGAATGAGAGGCTTTAAAAGGGAAAATTCGATAGTGAGCTGATCGATAGCTTCCGTTAAGCTAGGTAAAGGATGCATGACACTTTCGGTTGTCAGCTCCTGTATAAACGAGGCTTCACTGTCTGGTGTGCGATACTGGGTGTAGTGATAGCGACGAAGGCTTAGGCCCAGATTCGAGGCCTAAAAGGGCTGAGAATAAAGATGATGATTAAAAGATATTTGAATATATGTTTATCTCTGTCTGGAGAAACTGCCGGGCAGCGCTTGTGTAGAACAGTCTAGCGATGTTGTTGGAGTTTTATTATGTTAGTTGGAAGTTGAGATGTGGCTCCAAATCAATTTGATTCTCCTGCGCGCTTTGAGTTTCAACCTGCGCGCCGTCCTTCATACGGTTCAACACCTGCAACCACCACCACCACCACCACCACCACAAACCAAGCATACTCCCTTTGATTAATATTGTTATCGAATTAGCTGTAGGATTTGTTAGCTTGCAAGCGAGATAAAATTACAGCCCCCTAACCATGGCGCAGGAAGTGGTTCTTGAAACAACTATGGTATGTTTCTATCAACGTCGAGCTTAACAAACTAGTTGTATCTGACCGTGACTTTTTGTCTCTAGGGTTCTATAACAGTCGAGCTGTATACAGAACATGCCCCTAAGGTAGGTTATTACCAATATTATCTCCTTTCGTTTGTAATGCGAATCAACGCCGCTAATTCAATTACAGACCTGCAAGAATTTTTCGACGTTAGCACAACGAGGATACTATAATAATGTCATATTCCACCGTATAATTCCCAATTTCATGGTCCAGACGGGTGACCCTACCGGAACAGGCAGAGGCGGAAGTTCGATCTACGGTGAAAAATTCGAAGACGAAATAAATCCTTCACTTAAACACACTGGAGCTGGAGTGCTGAGTATGGCGAACAGTGGCCCAAACACGAATGGCAGCCAGTTTTTCATCACTTTGGCACCAACGCCGTGGCTGGATGGGAAACATACAATATTTGGACGGGTGAAGAGCGGGATGAGAGTTGTGCAGAGGATGGGTCTGGTAAAAACAGGAGCTGAGGACCGGCCGGTGGACCAGGTCAAGATAATGAGGGCTCGTCTTGTTGAAACTGAGGAAGAGTGAGAGCTAGCTCTAGGTTGACGTTTATGGACTCTCTTCAGACAATGGCGATGGATGTCAACTCCAGTACACCACGGCCACACCACTCATCTCAGCAGGGTAGGCTGGCCTTTATTGGATTGACCAAACAAGCGCTCACAGCTTTTTCCCGTTAACAATATGGCTACCGTGCCACCAGGGATTTTACACGCGGAGTTCCGGCTGATATTGAAGAGCTATTTTTTCCCCAGATGCTCGCGGGACGGCAACGCAAGGCCCTCCAATAATTATTATACACATAGATGTATCACCTCAATACGAACCGCATCTATCAGAGTAGTTATCCTGAGCGGCAGATACAGGGCGAAATTGGATCTACCACTCGTGAATGACAGCACCAATGAAGGGCCATCCATAGACACAGAACTAACATGCATTATAATAGCTGTATGTCGGCGCTTTACACGCGGAGTGGCATGGAGAGAAAAGAAGAAGCAGTTTCAACACTTTTTTTCCTCGAGTTTTTTGTGCTTGTCAACGCCAAGATTTATATCACATGACACAGCTGTCGCCTACGCACAAAAAAGCAAAATCGAACAACTTCATGCAACTCAAACTTGAGCTTCTCGCGATATTTAGCTACGGAATACCAGTCGCGGTAGCCTGGGAGACAACCTGTGGTCAAATAGTTGCTACCTTTGCCCTATTGTGGCTGCTAAGAATGGTAGAGGGGCAATGACTAGACGTTGTTCCCCTGAGACCTGGCCTTTGATCCAAAAGCAGAGGACCATATCAGAATGCTCGACTTGAACACGCTTGATGGGTCGACTTGGGATGTCGTGATATCTGGCACTGGCCTCCCCCAGGCATTCCTGGCACTGTGAGTCTAGGATATCTTTGAGTGAAGTGCTGTATGAAGTGCTGTTTCTAATTGGAAATTTTACGTGAAGGGCCTTGTCACGATCCGGCAAGAAAATACTGCATATTGACAAAAATGACTACTATGGTGGCTCTGAGGCCGCATTTAGCCTACAGGAAGCAGAGGAATGGGTGAAAAAGGTCAACGAGGGTATAATCTCTCTCCTTACTTTGTTTACTCTACGAATTCAAGGCGCTGACATGCTTTTTATCCAAGTCAGTGCCTAATTCTATGCCCTTCGAATCTGCGAGTATATCACGTCCTGTTGTTTTAGATGGTGAAGATGACGAACTGTCGTTTTCACGTGCATACACGCTATCTTTATCGCCTCAGCTGCTGTTTTCCCAGTCCAGGTTTCTCCCATCACTGGTATCCTCTCGAGTCTATCGTCAGCTTGAGTTCCAGGCCGTAGGGAGTTGGTGGATATACCAGTATAGTACTGGCTCAGAAGCCAACTCCCAACCAGCTAGATTGCAGCGTGTGCCTAGTAGCCGTGAGGACGTGTTTACTGATGAAACCATGAGTATGAAATCTAAACGATCTCTAATGAAGCTTCTCAGGCAACTCATGCAACAGGACCATGATCAGGAGAACGAAGCTGAATCAGAAGTAGACCAGAACATGCAGTTCCAGAACCTGCTGGAGACCAAATATCGCATTCCCAGTGATTTGTTCGATCCGCTACTCTCACTTTCTCTTTCTCTTAAGAGTATGGATACAACCAACTCCATGGATGCTATTCCAAATATCAAAAGGCATCTTTCTTCTATTGGAGTATTCGGGCCCGGTTTTGGTGCCGTTCTAGCTAAATGGGGTGGCGGGGCTGAATTTTCCCAAGCTGCCTGCCGTGCCTGTGCCGTTGGGGGTGGGATCTATGCCCTTGGTAGGGAGATCAAGAAGGTGGATGAGATAACCGATGGAGGCCAAAGCGAAAAACTACATATTTATCTCACGGACAACGAGTCCGTAAAGAGTAGGTATGTCGTTGGATCTGGATGGGATCTCCCGGAACAGATACACAGAGAAAGGGTACATCCCTATTCCCGCCTTACGCGAGCTATCATGGTTGTCAATTCGTCATTGGAGATACTTTTCCCACAGACTTCGGAGAATGGGCCCGTACCAGCTGGCGCTGTTGTTACCATCCCATCAAGAAATTCTGGTCCTCCCGCTTATCTCTTGGTACACTCAAGTGATACTGGAGAGTGCCCTGCTAACCAATGTGAGTATTATCATTCTACTAGCAATCACACTCATTCAACTATCTTTCCATGATGCCTTTATATTATCTACATTGTCTGCAAAATCATTGATGATAACTTCATTTTTCTGATCCAGAGCACATAAAGCTCCTTTTTTTGTTGCGCCATACTACACTATCATTTTGGGGTTGATATATGTTGCTAACCTTTGGCGCAAATAGGCATAATTTACGGTTACGTCCTACTACCCGCTGAAAGGGGCAAGGTGGTCCTTGAAAACGCGGTGGACAACTTCTTGAAGTCTGTGGACTCAAAAGCAAAGGTAATCTGGGGCGCTCATTTCACTCAGCTGGGGTGTCTAGAGCGTGAAATGATTGTGCCTGAGAATTTAAAAGGTTCTCATGACAACGTCTTTACTTTCCCTGCCCCGGCACTTGACCTGGCCTTTGATGATGGGTTGATTGATCAAGTTAAACAGGTATGGAAAGCTATAATGGGTGACGAAGTCGATGAAAATAACTTCTTGAAATTTGATGACCGAGAAGGTATGATTGACGAAGAGGAAGCAAACGAGACTATGTAACCGTTGGGCGGTTACAAATACCCCAATATACTCCTTCAGATATTATATATAATAATATATAACCATCAGATACCTTTTTTTATTTACACCCCTTTACTTAACCCGTCCTTGGCTCGTCCCGTCCACCATATGTATGGTTCGCCCGTTGCTGGCATAGGGCAAGATAAAAATATATATACCATCGTTCTCACCTACACGCAGGTTCCGAGTCCTAGTAGGTGCCAGACATGATGGCCGCTGCCTAGCAACTCACTCTGCTCGTTTTTGTTTTGATATATCGGCCACCCTATCTATAACCGTGGAAAGTGCAACCATTTATGCATATGCCTTAGGATATCTCAGTCCTGGTAAATAGACAAGGGTCGCTGGCAATGGATACCATTCCTATTAATATTGACCAAAGGCAGTATTTTGGGTTGAAACGCCCATATCAATATTGCTACAGGATGTTCTTCTCCCTAGTATTTTCTATTATTCATGGGGCCTTCTTATGCTTTGTATTCTTTACCAACGTTCTCTTTCTTTACCTCCTTGCTAGGCTTGTTTTCTTGCTTGTAAGGTCCCGCCATACCTGTTGATTCTACAGCCTGTGGGGTTGATATCTGTGGTTAATAAACTGCTGGACACAATATCTTTTAATCAAAGTGCCTGTCTTTACTTTTTCCTTTTCTGCACACACACACACACACACACACACACTCACACTCACTCACTTACACATTTTCTATCTCTCTCTTTCTCGCTTATTCTTCTGTCTTTTACTACACATCAACAGCTGTTCTAGCTAGAGACTCCTTGTCCCTGCTGCTATTTTCAAGAGAAAAGCTTAGGAAGCCCTGGTGTTGTTCTCTCTAGGATCCTATACCGACGCGCCTTCTACCATCAAGCAGTGACAATGCATATCCGGCCTAAAAATATCGTTATTAGCCTGGTGCTGGCGATCCCAATCTTCTTTCTCTGGGCTACTGTCAGATATGATCGCATTGCCCTCTCTAATCTTGCTCACTCTTTTGACCAGCTATCTCGCTCTAGCCTGAATGTCTCGCCCCTGACGCGTTTCCAGCCTCAGCTTTCTTCAGTCGAGGCCGTCAATGAGCTGTGCAAAAGGGGGCTGATGGTCCCTCCCCCCTTATCATACTCGGAATGGCTCCATCGAAAGAACTTTACCCGGGCCTACATCCGTCCCAACATGGTCAGCTCGGATGCGAAATTTGCCCCTTTGGAGACCATTAAACAACCAGTTCTCCCGGATTTCATGGCTCTGGATCGTGGGCTGACGGCACCACCTGAGGATAAAGGAGAGAGTGCATTGACATGCCCTCCAGTCATTGACGTGGATGTGGCTGCGGACAGCGAAGTCGACGATACGGCTGCTATTCTATTTGGTCTCGCAACAGATGTAGACCGGCTGAGGCGCCTTCTCCCGTCACTCCTTTTCTCATATGGCTCTTCGAAGGCAAACATTCTGGTTCTCATCCCTGAGGGAACTAAAGATATCGATATTCACGAGACATACTTCCGCAACCGTGGGCTAAACCTGACCCTAAAGACCTCGCCTCTTGAGTTTACGGCTCGCTATTTTGGCCTGGTTGAAGCATTCACGGAGCATATCGAGAATAACCTTCCCAATGTCAAGTGGGTTAGCTTTGTGGACGACGATACATTCTTTCCGTCTCTAGCTACCATTGGCAAGCGTCTTGCAACAATTGATGCCACCAAGAGGCATTATATCGGTTCCCTCTCCGAGGCAGATATTCAAGTTAAAGAGTTCGGTCCTATTGCCTTTGGAGGTGCTGGGGTATTTGTGTCGAAGCCACTTCTTGAGACTATGCATACGGTATACCAGAAATGCCAGGATCTTGGCACTCAACCCGGAGATCAGAAGGTAGCACACTGCATCAAGAAGTTTGGGAATACGGATTTGACTCTCTGGGATTCGTTGTATCAGATGGGTATAAGAGGTGAGCCTGATGGGCTGTTCGAATCAGGGCGCCATTTTGACTCTCTTCACCACTGGCAAAGCTGGTACAACAAGGACGTCGTAAAGATGAGCACAATTGCAGCTGTTGCAGGCCGTAACTCCGTTTTACGACGATGGCGTTTTGACGAGCGGATTACCGGGAAAGGCCAACGAACCTTTTGGGTACTAACAAATGGCTACTCGATGGTCAAATACACAATTGATGCCTCTGCAAACGCTGAATCTGTCGGGTTCGATAAAGTTGAAAAGACATGGGATGGAGATGATAAAGTGTTTGAAAAACGACTTGGACCCCTGCGTCCCAAAGACCAACCTGGAGTCAAAAAGGAACGATGGATGCTTGCGGAAGCTACCATCATTGGACACAACGTGCACCAACTGTACTCGAGGGAGCTTGATGAGACGCATAGTATGATCGAGCTCATTTGGCTAGGAACACCGGATGGCTCGGAGACATCCGATTAGTGGCAGGCTGTTCTTATCGCTGTTAAACGCAGCCGGGGTTTCCCGTTCGTGTGCGATTGTTGTTCGATGGCCTTTCCCACATGTCTGTTCTCTTTCATGGCACTGGCTCTCCACCCATCCTTGTTTGATTTATCGGCTTTCTGCTTCACGCCCGCACTTCATCCACATCTCGATCCCATATGCTGGATGAAAATGGTCAAGGTTGGGGCTTCCCTGCAAATCAACTAGTTAGTTTAGTTAGTTAGTGAATTCATCCAAAGAATTATGCCATGCATATTTTCTACAGTATATCTGGGATTTCGATAGTGTAGGAAGGACATAGTCAACTTTATAGGAAATTGGTTATATCCAGTTAGTAAAATTTGAACATAACTATACAATGTGCCTAGGCCCGCGGCCTAATAATATAATATGTTCAATGCTTATTGGCCACAGTCTGTTACCGGCTATTTATAATAATTGACTACTGAGAGTAGGTAGTCCATAACTTGAAAGCTCGGATATAGATTTATGCGGTAGTTAGATTCCATTTGTTAGAAAGCACCTGGGTAGCTTTGCACCCACAGCAATAATACAATAATACAATAATAACACCAATTTAACCACACGTACTGTCTAGCACACCATGGCTGCCCTAAGCAGGACGCGTGAGGCAACACAGCAATGCATCGCGACTTCTAAACTATTGATTGGACTCCCTGAAGGAACACCGATAGTTAAGTATACCAATATGAAGAAACTGAAGAATATAATAGACACCCAATCTCTTGACTGTTCTGCGGATATATCTAAAAGCCCCTTTTTAATAGTAACTTGCGTGGATGATAGCTTTTTCAAAGCTCTCGACAAGGCCTATCCTGACAGTGGACCTCGTATAACATATAATTTTGAAGAAGGAGGCCCAACCGTGATTCTTGAAGTGATGAGGAACAGGGTGAATGGACTGGCGACTGGACGTCTACACCTAGAAGTTGTCCTTTGCCTCGAGAAGATGGGACTCCAATATGAACTCATTGCCATGAACGAATCAGAAATAAAGAATTTGAATGAGACTTGGAGGAAGCAACCTGGCCTGTCCTTTGCTCTGGCAGACCATATCCATTGGCCAGTGCTTGTTATCGAAACTGGGATGTCGGAAGGTCAGCAAAAGCTGGCGATTGACGCCCAGGGATGGCTGGAAGCGCAGGGATCCGACACCAAAGCTGTCATTACTATAAACATTGACAAACACAGCCCACACATCACTTTTCAGCGTTGGGAGCACGAAGATACCCGACATACGACCCGTTCTCGTCATCCACACGGATCAGTCGTGCAAACTGTGGAGGTATTTCACAAAGGTGTTACCACAAGAGCCACGGGGGAGCTTATTATCCCTTTCGAAAAAGTGTTTGGGCGCGTGAGACATGGCCGCAAAGAAGCGGATATCATCATTACGAAGAACCAATTGATACGACTGGGGCAGCTTGTTTGGGCCGAGCAGAGGTTCATGTAGAAGGGTGTATTTCGGTATGGGGAGGCTCACCTATCAGTTTCTTCTTCTAAGATGGTTGCTAACAAGTTAGCTACCTAACCAACCTAGCCTTGCATATTCTTGTCCCTCCCCTCTTGCATAGAGTGTCATCCGATATCACCACCATCCGGACAGATACAAGACCACAAGGCGGAGATGATAGTCAGCCTCGCGGTGGCATGGGATGGTTATGGGTAAGAACTTTAAAATTATATATCCTTGTCTTCTGCTGTTGATCGGTTTAATGTCCATAATGCTGAGGCTTGTTGACCAGGGCACCCAGATTTTCGGCCACTATTTTATATTTGCTTGACGGAACGGAGAGAAATACATGATTATACTTATCAAGAAGGGAGATTTTTGTGTACCTCACTCTAACCCATTACCGACTACTATGAGAGTTACATGAAGGGCGCGGAGACCTTCGCTTTGCTAATTTATTCCATACGAGCAGTAGGCTTCAAAAGGATGCCTCCTAGCAAGTTCTCCGCATAGAGACCAGACGTTCTTTGCTCTCTGGTGTGGGGTCGGTGCAAGCCGATGGTAGGATCGACGTGGCTGGTCTCCTCCAACCAAGTCATTTTATACCCAATTTATGAATTGCAGATTTTCAATTTCCATGATTCATTCTTTTCTTTTTCTTCTCTAAGCTACCCCTCCAATCCCACCACAGGGCTGGAAGGCATGTTTGACGAACTTGAGTTTCGGGAGCGCATGAATACGAGGGTACAAGGATCTCATGCTTCTGGTTGGCTCCCAGCTTGCAGAGCCCAGAGTTGCGAGATCTTCGGTGGTCTTATTTTTGGATATCATTTTGAAGCAGTGTGTCTTTTTTGTGGTACCCGCTGGATACGGAGACAAGACTATGATACGGGGTTACAGAAGAGGGACCAGCCTTCACGGGCTCTGTTCTCCCAGCAGACAAGAATGGTTGAATATAAATAGGCAGAAGCTCCTCCATGGAATGCTCTCGTTGTATACCAGGCGCAACAACTCAAACAAAAACCTCTATACAAACAAACAAACATACAAATAAATTATCCACAATGAAGCTCAGCGTTCTCCTTGCCTTGGGTGCCAGCTCTTTGGCCGCTGCTGCCCCAGCTGCTACTGCCTGTGACTGCGGTGCTGCCGTCACCGATCGCCTGCTCTTTAGCTCCTCCATTTCTACCTTCCAAGCCGCCCGCAACGCCCTTAACCCTCCATGCTGCGACTGGAGCTCTGACAACTGTTCCAGCTCCCCAGACAAGCCACGGGGATACGACTTTATCCCATCCTGCCAGCGTCACGACTACGGATACCGTAACGGAAAGAGACTCAACCGTTTCACTGAGGACTACCGCAAGAAGGTTGATGACAACTTCAAGGCTGACCTTTACAACTACTGCAGCCAGTTCTCTGGCCTCGAGAGCTGGAAGGGCGTTGAGTGCCGCCGATATGCCGACATCTACTACTTTTTCGTCCGCGAATGTGGTGACGGTGATTGCCCTTAAAGAATTTTTAAGTCGTTCTCGGGTTTAGAGAAGGGAGTGGAGTGGCGTCTGCCTCTCTGCAGACCTCGTGGAATGGATAAGTCAGGTGCCATCCTGGCACTATTTTGTATATAGCCTGAATAATGAAGTCATCATAATGTTCCTATACGAATTGTCTTAGTAGTAATGCTATGTTCTGTGCAAAAAGTACTTGTGCCTGGATATCGCTCCGCGGTTTATCATGCCGTCCTTCCATGGTTGTTCTGAAGAAAAGCCTTGACCAATCTCTAATTCTATTTTTATCAAGGTTTGGTTGAAGCTTGTCTTGGCACGCATTGAAAAACGAGCTAGTCCAAATCTGGTTTTGTGGAAATTTATTTATCCTAAAGTTTATTGTTAGTCATCGCCCGCGCGCTTTGCATCTCAGAGCGAAAACAGACAAACAGGAGCTTTCAAATAGATTGAAAAAAAAATATAAGAGTTGATTCTTATTACTATTTTATATCTCTTTGTATATTATACAAGTGTTTCACAGTAAATCATGTCAGGATCTTCTCTTGAATCATGGGCTGTCCCTCGACTTGCTAGACTCCTTCCGTTGGACGAGGAATCTCTCAAACAGGTCATATCATATTCATCCTCGCTTTCCAAAGACGAGTGTGCAGTGCATTTGAGAAACCTGTTGGATGATTCCCCAGCAGCTCTTGAGTTTATATCTGCATTTAATTCACGACGTGGCAAGTCGGGGCAGCAGAGCAGCAATAGCAGCAACGGCCAAGGAGGCAGGAGTGGACAGATACCCAAGAAACTAGCAGGAACGAAATCTCAGAGGGATGCTTTGAAATCTCCACCTACCACCAGGCAACCGGAAGGTTATGGAGATACCAGCGGCGGTTATACTAAGCCGCAGCGGGAAGAGAACTATATGGCTAGTAGTAGCGCTGTGGTCAGAGGTGCTTCAGAGAGCATATCACCAGGATCGTCATCGAGAAACCCATCACCAGCTCCCTCACAGTCGAGAAATAGGCTGCCTCCATCTGCTACTGGCCCCATGATATCAGAATATCTACCAAACGTCCGGTCAAAAAAAGTTCCGAAGAATTTTGGACAACATAATACTGCACCGTCATCATCGAGCAATAACACTGCGCAGAAAAAGACTGGCCGTACAGCTACCAGCAACAACAACACTAGTACCACCACTACTACAAATAATATAGCTGATATCACATCTGCAATTGCCGCGTTGGAAATACTAACTTCAAATCCTTCGAAAACCCAGGCACGCAAGTGTAACTGCAATGCTTCCATCCATCCTCTCTTCGCGCCCGCACCAAACTGCACTTCGTGTGGGAAAATAATATGTGCTCTGGAAGGCATACAGCCCTGCTCATTCTGCGGTACTCCAATTCTCTCTAGCGAGGAGGTCGAAGATATGATCCGGGAACTACGATCTGAGCGTGGCAATGAAAAGATGCGAGCTCATAACGACAGCTTCCGCCGGGATGACCACGCCCCAGCTGTCACTCGACTAAGTAGCGAAAGCAACCAAAAGTTGACCGCTGCAAAGGCTCATCGTGACAAGCTTCTTTCTTTCCAGGCACACAATGCACAAAGAACTCGGATTTTAGACGAGGCGGCTGATTTCGACATACCAACTTCGTCGTCGACACAGTGGATGACCCCAGCCCAGAGAGCACTGGCGCTAAAGAAGCAACAGCGCATGCTACGGGAACTGGAAGAGCAGTCCAAACCAGAGTGGGAGAAGAAGAATGTAGTGATGAGCCTGGAGGTGAAGAAAGGGAAACTCGTTAGGACGTACGAGAAAGCAGAGCAACCAAGGGTGGAAGATACCGACCCTGATGCAAACGCAGAAGAGGCAGTCGAGGATACGACAGAGTCTCCTGGGCTATCTGTAGAAGAGGGAACCTTCTCCAACAATCCCTTGCTAAAGGGCGCCGGCCTGGTCAGGCCTACATGGAAACCATCCGGCGAAGGCAGCGACAAGCCTCCCGTACGAAGGAGAGAGCAGAAGCAGACCTGGAGACGAGTCCAGGATGATAACGACGACAACGAACAGTGGATTCTTGACGGTGGTCTGCATGGGTACGATAGGGAATCAGAGCCCGCACAGTGCGGATAGTCGTGGTCTCTGCCTGAGAGCCTCACGTTGATTGATATCGATAGCTAGCCACAAGCGTAAAAAGAAATATGCCGTCGTATTAATAACTGTCTGTCGGCAGGGCCTTTGATCTCGCATTACGTAGCATCAACTTGCTTGTTAATTATTTCTTCTTCTTCTTCTTCTTCTCGTTGTTCTTCTTCTTCTTTATGTCAAAGCGTGGGGGATGCAACCGGTTTGATCGCTTCCTGCAACGTCACTCTCTTCTCCTACCTCGCCGCTGGGCAAACTGGGGCCTATCCTCATCACCCTCCGGCCGCTGCGATGTCAATGGCCGCGCACAAGTGATCAGGGACACGAAAAGACACCTATTGGCCCTGCAACCACAGCAGGACAGGAACAACGAGCCAATCTCTCTCGCCGCCTGGGGTTTTGCCTCGGGGCGTTTCCCACGGGTCCAGCCCGGGCGTGCCAACCCTTAAATCTTGTACCATCGATGACGGCCAGTGACGTCCACATCGCAGATATCCTCCACATGAACCAGGTTTCCGGGCTTCATGAGACATGCCGGCCGTCAGTATACGTTTCCCTCCGCTCTCCAGAAGGCCTTGGTAATTTGAGTTAACTTGTAGGTATCCATCTCTAGGCCGCCCAAAGAAAACACTGGTAGGGCCGCAAGGCTCCCCACCACCACAGACAAAAAGCTGTCCATATTTAACAGCCTGAGCCCGTCACTTTACTACTTTGTCCTCCCCATAATACTCATAATAATACATCTTCTCCTTACGTCTACCGCCCCTGCTCTTCCCGCAGACGGCCCGAGCATCCCCCGCGTGTCGTTCCTGAAGTCCTCGCCATTGCTCTTCTTTCTCGCCTCTCGCCACAACACCCAACAGACACCACCCGAATACCTGCGCCAGTGGTGCGAAAGCCCGTATCTCCAAGGCCTGCTCGATCCGGAACAGATCTTTTCTATTTGCCCCTCGAAGATGGCTTCTGCGGTTCTGGAGGAAGCAAAGCGGATTTCCGCGGGGTTTGAGTACTCTACGGAGGAGCTCAATAAAGGGGTGGAGGAGTTTCTACGCGAGATGGAGGTTGGACTGTCTCGAGAAGATTCTGGGTTGAGCCAGATCCCGTCGTATATTACTTCTGTGCCCGATGGGACGGAGAAGGTGCAGTATTTATCCTTCGCCTAGTTGGAGATGACTGGCGCTGACGCAGCATTTGGTTCCGGTAACTACAGGGCGTGTATCTGGCAGTCGACCTTGGTGGTACCAACCTGAGAGTCTGTTCTGTCCACCTGCATGGCAACTCCACCCATGAGATGATACAATCGAAATCCGCCATCCCCAGAGAGCTGATGGTTGCCGAGCATGGAGTGGAATTGTTTAATTTCCTAGCAAAGCAAATTGAGGCATTCCTGCGAGAGCATCATGCCGAGCAGTTCAGTTCCCACGTCGAGAAAAGGCAGACTGGAGAGATTAAGGAGCCCTATGCCGAAGAGCAAGTGTTTGACCTTGGGTTCACTTTCAGTTTCCCCGTCATCCAGCATGGAATCAACAAGGGTAAACTATATCGATGGACAAAGGGTTTTGACATCCCTGAAGTGGTCGGTAAGGACATCTGCCAGCTGTTACAGACAGCGATTGATGAGCTCAACCTGCCCGTTCGAGTTTCAGCCCTCATCAATGATACCGTGGGAACGCTGATGGCCCGGTCATATTGCTCTCCTGGAAACTCGAGGACACTAATAGGTTCCATCTTTGGCACGGGAACCAACGGAGCGTATGTCGAGAAGATGCCCCGCGTGACGAAAATGGAACGGTGCAGCAGCAGCGCATATAATAAGTCAGCTTCTGAGATGGTGATAAACGCTGAGTGGGGTAGCTTCGACAATTCCCTCAAGGTGCTCCCAAACACTGAGTTTGATATCCAACTGGACAATGCGACCTTCAATCCTGGGATCCAGATGTTTGAAAAGCGGATCTCGGGCATGTTCCTCGGTGAAATTCTTCGTCTTGCTATTTTGTCGATGGTGGAGAACCCTTCTGTCAGTCTGTTTGGTAGTCCGGCCACGATTGACTCTAACTCGGTCCTTTATCAGGCCTGGGCAATCGATGCTAGTATTCTGAGCATTATTGAGGGCGATGACTCGGAGGGCCTACAGGCCACAAAGGAGCAGCTACGCAAGGACCTTGGTATCATGGATGTGAGCACCAGTGACTGCCAGGCCGTCAAGCTCCTGGCGCACTCTATCGGCAAGCGTGCAGCACGACTGGGGGCTATCGCCCTGGGCGCCATCGTTATCTCCAGCGGCCGGCTGGCAACAGATGAGGTGGTTGATATCGGCGTTGACGGCAGCCTGATCGAGCACTACCCCGGCTTCGAGGGCTATATTCGGGAAGCCTTTCGCGAGATACCAGCCATCGGACCGGCTGGAGAGAAGAAGATTCGGATCGGGATTGCAAAGGACGGTAGCGGTGTAGGAGCAGCGCTAGGAGCCCTGGTGGCCAAGAAGACGTCTCAAACGCTGCAAGGTTAGGCTGGTGTTTTACTTGTCTGTGATCAGCGTGGCAGGTGTGGGTGTTCTTTATATACGTGTACCCAGGCATGGAGTCACCGCCTGTGCTATCATTTATCTACCATCTCTAGTCATGCCGCCTATCCGAGCATGTCCACTCTCAATGACGTATATAATGCAAAATATCACCATCAAGCTCACCATCAAGCTCACTATCAAACTCACTATCAAGCTCACTATCACCATCTGTAGTTAGGTACATCGTACGATGCAACTCGCTGCCGGCGGCCGGGTACGGAAACGGCATTTTATGTCATCAATGCCGGGTGGTGGGGCACCGGGGGGCGCAAGGGCGGGACATCGAGATAAGGATAAATAGCCAGCAGCGACGCCTGCCTCGCCCTCGTCCTCCTTTTCCTCTCTCTCGTCCCCCATCTTGCTCTGCCTGTTAATAGCCACAACCTCGCGGCCGCTCTGCTGTATCGAGTTCTTGCTGCTGAACCCACGTTTAACCACGTACACTACTTTCACAATGCCTGCATTGAAGTCCGGAGACGCTTTCCCATGCGATGTTCTCTTCAAGTGAGTCTTCAGATTGACCCTTTTATATTAGGCATGCTGGACTTGTAGCTGGGCCAGGCAGTACTGGTTGGTCAAGTAATGCAGCTGTGGAAGCGGTTTCAGGCTAACCAAGGATAATATCTTAATAGGTACATCCCATGGACTGAGGAGAAGAAGGGATTCTCTACCTGCGGTGCCCCTATGCCCTACGATGCATCCAAGGAGTGGAGTAACAAGAAGGTCGTCCTCGTCTCCGTTCCAGGTATACGCACCCCCGTAGGACGATATAGGCCCCCTTGAATGCCTGCAAACTGACAACTGTACAGGTGCCTTCACTCCAACTTGCTCTGCTACCCACCTCCCTGACTACATTGCAAAGCTTCGTGAATTGAAGACCAAGGGCGTCGACATCGTTGCTTTCGTTGCCTACAACGACCCTTTCGTCATGAGTGCTTGGGGCAAGGCCAATGGTGTCACTGGTGATGACATTGTAAGCTCTCCCTCTTACCCCAGGCCTGCATGATACTGCAAAGTCACACGTCTGATCATGTTCAAAATTGTACAATATAGCTCTTCCTCAGCGACATTGAATCAAAGTTCTCCAGTGCCTATGGCTGGACCGCCCACGAGGGCCGCACCGGCCGCTACGCCATGATCATCGACAACGGCAAAGTCGTTTACGCTGAGAACGAGCCTTCCATTCCCAATGTCACCGTAAGCTTGTCCCACTCGCCCTTCTTCCTGGGCATTCAGTTAGACTAACTGGGCGTGAAACAGGTCTCTGGTGTCGATGCCGTCCTCGCCACGTTGTGATTTGCCTTTCAATAGACATATAGATTAAGGCTTGGTCCGTGGAGGCGTCTAGAGTCTAGATATGAGTTAGCAGTACTTGCCCATCTAGATTTAGAAATATATCAATGATAAATGATATTAATAACATGCCAAAGTCAGTCCCTGTTTCATAGAGCCTTGCTGAGACATCCGTCGTCGACCTTAATAAAACAATAACAAGACACACGAATCTGATTAGATAATCCCCACTTAAACTCAATCTTATCAAGATAAGAGTTAGTTAACGCTAGTCCAAATACGGAAACCTCACTCTATTTTTCTCAACTTTGTTGATTATCAAAATGTCTGAAAACTTGCAGGCTGGGTTCATCAATCCAATGACTCCGAGGCATGGCCTCAAACGGACCCAACAAGCGCAAAGGCGCATGGGAGTCATCTTCGTTTCTACACCGTAAGCGAGTGAAGATACAGGATGCTCGCACTTTGGCCGTCCAGAGCTCTGACACAGCTCTCTCAAAAACCGGGGAGCTCGATGTTGCGGCCTTCGTTGCTGCTCGACAGTTCGAAATTCGTGCTCTGGAGGCTGGTATTCGAAAATCCAAGAATGCAGCTACGACACGCGCTTTTCAGCAGGTGCCTAAGAACCTCAGGCGGAGAACCGCGAGTCATAACGTGAAGCGTGTACCTCGTCGATTGCGAGCTCGAGCCAAGCGGGAGGTATGTACTTTCTACTTTACAACCATCATTTATAACACAGTGAACTGATGACTCACCTGAGTGTAGATGATAGAAGATAACACACCGACTGTCACGGCAAGGCGAAGGAAACCGACTCAGTTGATGCGACTCAGGTTGGAAAGTGCTCGGCGACTTCAAGGCCTTAACGCGCGCTCAAAGGCAAAAAGACAAGTCGCAGCGAAGGCCAAGCTAGCACAATCCCCTCATTATGCTGGCCATGATTCTGAAGTTGCCCCGCGTATCCCAAAGATAAAAAAGAACAAGCTCTCCCACCCTCATAAGCCAGCGTCGAAATTCAGAAACCGCCAGATTTGTAAGACATGGCTGCCAACTCATATGTTTCATGCCAAACGGGCACATCTCACAGAACCAAAAAACCCGCTGTGGAGATTTGCGATTCCATTGACACCCACAGAGAAATGCTATCGAACAACCCACCGTGCCAGCGGGGCTAGGGGTGCAATTGCCTGGGACATAAGCTATATGTCCACAATTGGCCTGGAAGGAACATATACCAGCCTAGAAAGTCTTTTACGAGCGCTAGGCGTGAATGGACAGAATGCATGGGGAGGTAATGAATACAAATGGAGGAACGGAACTCGGAGCTTACGCGTCTGGGTTTATGAAAGGGATGGACAAAAGCGACCTATTGCTCCTGTCCAGTTGATTTGGTGCCCACCCAAACAAGATGAAGATATAGAAATGACAGATGCTGACTCTGTCCCCAAGAAACTGCAAAAGTCAAAGACCCCAAGACGACGAATGTTCCTCAGAGCCCACCCATCTGCTTTCTTGCAGCTGTGGGAGGAGCTCCTGAAGGTGGCGAAAATCCAGAAGCCTCAAGTGATGGTTGAAGACCTCAGGTTCGAAATAGGGAGTATTGAAGTCGCGGGACCTGGTTCCACGGAAGCCTTGCTAGGTGCTTTGAAACCTGCTCTTCCCCATGGTGTGGATGTATGGCCAGAAGGTTCACCTGAATCAACCTGGCTCTCCCTGGCCGGGTTAACAAATCCGGCTTCTTTACCCCGGAATGCACTTCTCTCCTTCAACATCAGCGACCCACGTCTTCGTTTCCCCCCAAAAACTATCAAAATACCCAACTCAGCAGAAAGCCATACTAAGTTAATGGAAACATTGGCTTCGTGGAAGCCGGATTCAACTCAAAAGTTGCCTCCAGATCTGTTTTCTCAACCTGCCAGGCGCAAGGCTTGTTGGCAGCTACCGTCGCAAAAGGCAATTAATAGAAGAAAATCCGAAGTTAGCCCAGGGGAGAATGTTCCCCCGAAATCAACTGACCCAAACATTCCCATAATCCTCCTTGCCTCTAATAATAGCTCAAAGAATTCCAACTCACAAGGCTCCTGGACAGTTTTACTACCATGGAAGTGCGTGACTCCAGTTTGGTATTACCTGCTCTACTACCCCCTTTCTTCTGGAGGAAATCCCCGGTTTGGCGGAATCCAGGAACAGCAACAGCTTGCATTTGAGTCAAAGAAGCCGTGGTTTCCAGGCGACTTCCCTGGAACCAGAGCTGGGTGGGAATGGGAGATCCGCGAGAGAAAAAGAGAGAAGGAAGTCTGGGAGCGTAAGCCCAAATCAAAGCGGGTGGAATATAACAGCGTTAATCTTGGGAATGGGAAAAGCGGTGAAATTGGTCAAGGTTGGGCTTGTGACTGGGAACGCCTACTTTCAGGGCCTGCCTCGATGGCTGTGAATCATGGGGTTGGGCCAGGAGAGAGACATAACCAACCAGGTAGATCCGAAACAGCTGAGGCGGATCTGATTATGCCTCCAGATCTCATCCAACTTGACCCCTTGATTGCTTCTGCGATAATCTCGAAATTGAAAAAATCAAACCAGCTTCCTGCCTCAATGGAATCTCTCTGTCAGAAGCCTGCACTTGCAACTGTTTCCATCACTCTCTTGGGTCGAGGGACTCCTATGCGACGTTCGCGAATCTACCGTCTCCCAACCTCAGATCTAGAGCTTCGATCAAAATGGCTTTCCCTCTTAAATCAATTAGAGGGACCATTAAAGAAGACAGGGAACGACTTTGAGGAGCGGGCACATTTACCAATTCCACAGGAAGAGGACTTATTGGGCTATGTGACCTCGGGCAATTTTAATCTTGCCGCAGGAAAGGGGACGGGTATTGGTGCCATATTAGTCAACAGGATATGTCCTCACAGAACCCTAGATGACTCTAGTGCTCCTTCAACTGATAAAGACCGCCACCAAGAAGGTAAGCTTATGAACGTATGTATTATTAGAGCTGCTGGGGAGAGTGTTGGAAGACTAGGACGCTGGGAGGTTGCCTGAACGTACTGGGTACATATATCAAAACTGCATTACGCTTGCTGCATCGTAGCTATATATCAAGAGACAACGTAGTAGATTATGCACTTCTCCCATTTCCACTTACTGTTGCTATGGTACACATGCTAGGAAAACTGTCTAATAATGGCGTTACAATATAGTTTTTCTTCCTCAAGGCTCAGATACTCTACCCAAATTGTTGGCTCATACCAGGCTCTCTCAGCTTATCATTTTTTGGACCCATTCCTTTTCTAGCCTTGCAACTTCGCGCTTGAAAGTATCCACCTCTTGCCAACAGTCTAATGGTCGCTTCTGGTTATCACGCAGGCATTTCACAACTCCCTCCCTTGCAGTTTCAAGTTCGGGGTCTAATTTTCGGATCGTAGGCCTGGTGGCCAGTGATTCTCGCAATGCCTCAATTTCCTTAGCAACCCTTCCGCTGCTTATCATCTTGGGATTAATTGCAGCGGCTTCATCATTGCTCTCCGCAGGCGCAGCAGAGGTGGCCGGAACACGGTCGAATTCGGTACCGGCAAATGGGACTCGAGGAGACTCAAGGGATAGAGGCTGGCTAGCAAGAGTAGAAATGTTGCTTTTGGCTGCTGCGGGCCCCTCAGGTGGATATGAAGCTGCTATTCTCTTTTCGATATCGGCGAGAGTTTGCGTCTCACGTTCACGGATGCGGTTCAGCTCCTCAGCAACACGGGCTTGGATATGAAGCTCTAACGATTGGGAGCGCGAAGCATCGGTCTATTTTATGGGATATTTTATCGGTACTTAGTGGATTTGGTCGGATTGGAATATGGTAAACGGGTAGCTGGTGTATGATTACCTCTGAGCTTGACTGTAGCGACTCGACAAGGACTTGGGAGAATTGAACAGGTGAACTGCTGCAGTTATTGGTTATCAGCAAAACAGCCTAAATAGCATAGTTGCTAATAAGCGATTACCGCCTATGTCCGGAGGTGGGTGGTGGGTGATGGATGAAGATTTCGCATCGTCATAATAAGGCAAACGAACCTGCTAAACACATGCTTCCCCCCTTTCTCCGAGTCCGCCGGTTTTGAAGCGCCTGCTCCCATGGCTTTTGGAAGTCAGTATCCGATCCCAATTTGCGCAAACTAGACAACTTTCGGGAAGTGGTTGTGTTGTGTAATTTTCCCAGGTCGAAACGGACTCACCTTGTATGCGTCACGGGTCCCAGAAAAGGGCCACAAGCAAACAGCAGTATTTCAGTTATCACAATTAATAACAGAATAGCCTCTGAGTTCGTCGAGGAGACGCCAATTGCCGTTGGTCTCGGGGTTGCTGCTTCACCATCGACCGCAACCTGGACGTAGTTTATCAACCTGGAGGTTAGAAAATATGATGACATAATATCCATCACGTGTATGTCACGTGACGGATACTTGCTCTCGCAACCAACAACTTCGGGGACTCAAGAATGGGACGAAGCGCTTCCTCTGAGCAGTGGTTGCTGTCAATGTACGAGGTAGCCAGCCAAGGAAGAGGAGCATGGCGGTGTATACACTATATTGACCGAGTAAACCCTCCTTGAAGATGAAATCCTTCCATCTCTGTGAATTTCGCAATTCCATGAACGGATTTCTCAACACGAGTCAGATGATATAACGATTTCAAAATAGTTCCCGTGTATGACTGCATCAAGTGGTCTCACTGACTCGGTCTAGGTCTTACCCTGGTCAACTAGTGCGAAGGGCGCCGATGTCAATATTCTATTCGCCACAAGTACAGAAATCCGTCCGTTGTTGTTTGGGTTCAGCTGTGGTCCTCAGGCTGGAAGTGTCTGAAGCTGCCATCAATAATAACCAGCCAGTGCGGGCCACACTACGCTAGTGGCAGAATCTCGTAAGGGCGTTTTATATGGGGGATTACTTGGGCATCTTCAGCATTCCGCATGTTTTGGCTTGATCTACAGAACAGGAAGCTCCGGGGAGAACTCCGGGATAAAATGTTAGCTAAAAATTGCTGCGGCTTTTATATACAAAACGCCCCACTCGGTCACCCTCGCGTGTTGGGATCGCCTTGCTATATATATAACCAGCAGTCCTCAGATTTCCCCAGAATTATTATCCACCCATAGAACGGGGTAATTACACAGATCTCTACATTGAGAGAGCAAGACCGAAAAAAACTTCCCGTCAAGATGCAGGCTCGTGGGCAGGAAACCATAGTGGTGATCGGGTGAGTCAGCATACAAAGGCCCAGTTGACATTGGCATTGAACTCATATATGAAAAAGAGCTGGTGTCCTTGGCCTTTCGTCGGCCTTGGAATTGATCGAGAAGCCCGAAACATCCAAATACCAGATAGTACTTGTGGCAGATCACTTCTCAACAGATCCCCCAAACCCCGTATACGCAACCACAAATGCTGGTGCACATTTTCGTCCTATTCCTGCCACAGATACCCAGACAGAGCTGGAGAGTGATCATGCTGTAAGAACATACTCTCGGTTCAAGAAACTTGCTGAAGAGGAACCAGCGTTTGGCATCAAATTCCTGGAAGGAATTGAGTATGTATCTGGGCCAGCCGCTGAGAAATATAAGGCAATGAAGCCGAATTACGTGAAGCAAGAAGGGTTCCGGCTATTAGAAGGCCCCGAAAAGCCGGCAGGTGTTGATTTTGCCGCGAGATATGAGTCCTTCATAGTCGAACCCGACACTTACTGCTTCCATCTTTTACGGCGCTTCAGACTAAAAGGAGGTAAAATCTTACGACTCAGGCTGCAGTCCGTGGAAGAGGCTTTCTGTCTGGATGGCTACAAGGTCTCGCTCGTTGTGAACTGTAGTGGAATGGGGTTTGGGGATCCAAAGACCTTCATTATTAGAGGTATCACTTAACATTTAGCTGCGTTGATTTGTACTATGCTGAGACCGAGATCTGACAATTCACCATAGGTCAGACATGCCTTATTGCAGAGACTGCTACAAAAACGGTGACACAGCAAAACGCGGATGGAACATGGACGTTTCTGGTTCCTCGACCTCTAAATGGTGGGACCGTCGTCGGTGGTACAAAGGAGGTAGGTGACTGGAACCCTACAGCTTCTATAGCGGTCAGAGAGGAACTTCTTCGCAACGCTGCAAAGATGTACCCTGGCATTGTCAACTCCAAGGGAGGCTTTGATGTCATCAAAGACATTGTTGGCCGACGTCCTGCACGAGAAGGAGGAATGCGCTTGGAAGTCGAAACCCTCCCTGATAACAGGCCAGTCGTCCATGCTTATGGAATCGGCGGCAGAGGTTTCGAGACCAGCTGGGGTATAGCTGAGGATGTTCAACGCATGGTGACGGAGACTCTTGGAAAACGGCCGTTAGCCAGCCGTCTCTGAGTCACTCGCTGTTGGCAATATGTCTCCCTGAAATGGATGCTACACAAAATTATAATCTCCATGCAACCGGCCCTAGAAAAGACGAGTCGTGTAGAGGTGGGAACGTCAAGGCTCCTTTCTGACTTACTTGACCAAAAAGTAACAATATATCAATTAGTTGACTTCACAAATGATATCAAAAAGAAATCCTAGCATGTCTTGGTTTCGATCCAAGGTCCTCCGGGTTATGAGCCCGGCGCGCTTCCGCTGCGCCAACATGCTTTAATTGATGCGATAAACTAGCAATAAAAGGCATATAAGTGGAATGAGAAGGCCTTTATCGGAGTTAAGGGCGATATCATTGGAAGACACATGCGCTCTCTCTCTCTTTCATTTCCTTTTTTTTTTTTTTTTTTTTTTTTTTTTTCGCCTGCTTTGTTGGTGCTGGTGTTGGCGAGTGGAGACGGTCGTGTGAGTCATAGCAAGATTTTGCACTTGGCCACATCCCAAAAGGCTAAAAGTTGGAACACTCTTTTCCCTTGTGAGCTTTATAAAGGAGCATCCGACAATAAACCGGACACAATGTCTACTTCATGCTAGGGAGCGAAGGTGGGTGCTATTATACGATGTCCCAGGTGTTGCTGATTGCATAGATCAAACCGATGCAGTGTTAAGGATTCTTCTACAGAGAGTAGCCATGCTATACGCAGTCTACACTGGATATCAATGCACAAACGGATGCGAGACTAACCTGAGACCAAAACACGGTTCCTATCGGGTTCTCACCGCTCGATCTGGGGAAGGAGGAGGCCTTGCAGAGCGCTGTTTCATGGGAGGCGACATTGAGGTCATACCTCACGACCAGTTAGACATTCGAGTAAGACAAACGAGAGGAACCACGTTGTTTGTAAAACAAGAGTCCGTATAGTGACTTCGTGTCTTGATGCCTTCATATTCGGGTCGAATATTCAATACACTGCGTGCGTTTGCAGATACCGAGTGCAAAGTGAATGTTAGTGAATATTTTCCATGTTGCAGGGCTTATCAAAGCCCTTTCAAGGCAGCTTGTACGGCCAGGTACCAGTTTGGAGCCACGGGTGCGCGATAATATGCTGATCAGCTCTCGAAATTCGACAGAGCCTGCTCCAAATCGTGAGTGAGGTGACTCCATGACAGCAGGGTAAGAAAAATCAAGCAAAAAAAAGGTTTCTCCCCTGCCAAGCCATTAACTTGTCTTATCAGGAAGCTTGAATTTCTCTCAGCTCCAGCGCACATCAAAGCAGGGCGAGGGATGGTAAGTAACGGGGTGGAGGAACGGCTCGAAAGTAGCTCTGATAAGCAAGGCTAGGAAGAAGCAGGTAAAGCAAAGGGAGGACCCCGATAACCCGATGCATTGCACTACATCGGTTAGCACGGTCTGCATCATCGAACCCGACCGAAAGCGCAACACCCAGTTCCGGCCTGTTGAAGAGCTGGGACAGAGAAACAATATCAGAAGACGTGATCCGAGGAATGTCTGATTGGGTAAGTGACTCCGGGTGCAGGATGGTTGACAATTTGCATGCAGGAAGCACGGCCAAAACTTTCCTTTTACGTGCAGGAAGAGTGCCTCCGGACTGTGTACGGAGTACACTTTCCACTTCATGCACAAGAAAAAAATGGTGTGGATGACATGTCAATGCAACTTACAGTCGACATCCGAATGCGTAGGCAAGGTACGGAGAGTAATTGGTCCCCTCGTTTGCGGCTGCATCACTGCATGACAGTCGGAAATTCCGGGACCAAGGGTCTTCGTCGATCAACAGTATATACGGGGGGTAGGCGATCGAAGCGGCTTGTCCAGACTCTTTACTAGAAAGAAGAGCACAAGAGCTTGACAGGTCCTAGTGTACCAGGTATTGCTCCGGATATCAATGTGGCTGTAAGAAGCAGGCAAGCTATTCCGATAGTCTGTCGCGATCCTTAATGCTAAGAAGCTAGTGGAGGCTGTTCGCAGGACCTCTGAGCCCAAATTCATTATTCTCGTAACCCGGAAGCCTGCATTTGATATTCCCGTCCCTAGCTAGGTATAGGTGATTTTCGCTAGAAACAACCAGTCCCAGGATGCTGGGGGCCCCAGTGAGCTGCAGATGCATGTAATAGTTTCTTTCCCCATAGTCGTCGCAAGGCAAGCGGAAGCAAAAGAGAGGAAAGGGAAAGAAAAAGCAAAGCGGGAGCTGCGAATAAACGGAGGACGTGTTGGAGGTGAAGAAGCTAATAATAATAGTTAGCTAATTAAACACCCTCTCCTTTAGCTACTTGACCAGGGAAGCGCTTGACCTTCGAAAAAGCACCGGGGATTTTTGATGTTGATATCCGGATGTGGATGTGGGTACAGCAAGTCGCTGCCCTGGACTTGGAAATAGGTACTCCATACTCCGTACGGAGTAGGCAATAATAATGATAATAAAATTGGACGGGGCGGGCGGGCGGGAGGAGGCTGAAGCGGAGCGGAGAATCAAAGTTCCGGGCCGGCTTGGTACCTGCGTCCCGTCCGCTTTGGGCAACTTCAACTTCAACTTCATCTTATCAACAATATCGGCTTCGAGCTTTTCGAGCTTCGAGCCAGCGCGGACAACGTTCTGCTGAACAGCAGCCAGCAACGAGCAACCATCAGATGGACACACCGTCCGACGTTGACGAGCTATCCAACCAGGCTGCCGCGTTGGACAATGCCGACTTTTTCTGGCTCTGCGAGATAGTTCAGATTTTGGACCTGTCTGTATCACCACGCTTGGCCACAGGATCATCTGTTTTCCCTCGAACAAAGAACAAGCAAAAACGCTCGTGTTCCGCTTTGCATATGTTGTATTTCTTGTGTACTACCGGAAAGCCACAGACACTTCCTCACGTACTCCCATGGATTCCGATGTTGCTTGGACTTTCCTGGCCATCCAGCCGTGGAAAATTGGGAATCAGTCTCTTAGTTGGCTAAGAGCGACAATGGCAGGATGCATTGCATCTTGTCGATATTCTGTTTCTTTTATTTCTGTAGATCTCATTTGTTGACAGCAGCCATGATTCAGCCATTCCTATATCGCTGAATCGAACCTTTGTTTTCTTACCGCGTTGCCTCCAACTCCCCCCGCTTGCCTGATTCTTATCATTCCCTAAAAGCGTTGGAGTAGCTATTTCTGAACTCTTATTTATGTACTACCGTTGGAGCCGTGCAGACTTCTGCACATGATTTGTCTACCGCTCATACATGACAATTAGGAGAGAAGAGAGGAGTAACAATAGTTATATATCACTTCCTGGAACCGGAGCCATCTCTCCCATCTTTGAACTGCAGAATACTGCATTTTCTTGTTCCATTTTAGGCATACACTCCATTGGAATCTCGTTCCTCGTGGGCTTCCCGATAAATTTTTTTATTTTATTTTATTTTTTACTTTTTATTTTAATATCAGTTTTCCAAACATCTTGCTGGCCGTTTGCTTGAAATTCTCCGTTGAGATATTCTCAAATCATTAAACCCTTTCACAGTGCTTTGACCCTCAACCGGTTCTCTTTTAAAACGAGTTCCAGGGCTGCTACCTTGCGAGTGTCAACATCGTGAGCTAGATTATTTATTCTAGCTGTCATTCGATCAAGCTGGTGTGTACGCTTTATTTCACTTACCCTCTTCATCCTTAACCGAGCCTGCCATACCCCCATACCATATTACTTCGCAACTGTCTATATTGACAGTTTAGTATCATCTTGTTTCACTAAGGGTGGAATACAGCATTCTACCAGGCTTTTGCAGTTTGGTGTCTGCTTATGAGGTGCCAGTTCGACTAGCGCGTTGATATAGGAAGCGTGTTCCTTTGCCTTCACACTATACTTACCAGAGTCACGCGTGATGAGTGCAAGTTAGTGTTTACAACCACGAAAGATTTCCAGCTCCCAAAAATTTGATTTCCAACACCCTAGCACAAGCTCCTCTATCATTCCTTCGCAACTACGCGACCCTGCTAACACCAGCTTTCCAGCTTGATGGAGGTCGACTCAGTGAGCAACCGCAGCCAGCGACCGAGGCCGCCTTTTGGTGATGCACAGAACCGCGCAAATATGGCTCACCCTAACCTGCAACGGTCGCGTCATATTACACTCTCTCCATCTTTCGAGAAGCTTAACTTGGACGGACCAGATTCAAAGCCTAATGAGATTATGGAAACCACGTTGACGCCCGTCGAAAATAAACGAATATCAGCTATTGTCGAGGGCCAACCCAACTCAAACCGTAACTCTACGATCTCCACCGCCTCAACCACATCCACAAAGTCTCGACGCAAGACTCACATTGGGCCATGGCAGCTGGGGAGGACGCTTGGCAAAGGATCGACAGGACGGGTACGGCTTGCAAAGCATGCTGTAACTGGCCAATCTGCAGCCATCAAGATCGTCTCCAAGCGTTTTGCAGCCATGGTTCAAAGCCAGAGCATTATGGTTATGGATAAGGTATCGAGAATCCCAGGACTCACCAAGGAGTCTAGAGCTATTCCCTGTGGAATTGAAAGGGAGGTGGTTATTATGAAACTCATTCAGCATCCAAACGTAATTGGCCTCCTCGATGTATGGGAAAATAGAGGCGAACTGTAAGTTAATTTTTTACCTACCCTCACATGTTTTTTGTGACTAATTTTGGTTGTAAAGGTACCTTGTTCTCGAGTATGTGGAGGGAGGGGAGTTATTCGAATATATCTCTGAGCATGGACCGCTTCCTGAGATTGAGGCTGTGCGACTCTTCAGACAGATAATCTCGGCCGTGTCTTACTGTCAAAGATTTAATATCTGCCACAGAGATCCCAAACCTGAAAATATCCTGCTTGACGGTTCATTCAACGTTAAGCTAGCTGACTTTGGAATGGCAGCCCTACAGCCCGAAGGCCACATGTTAAATACTTCATGTGGCAGCCCTCATTACGCCTCGCCCGAGATAATCTATGGAAAGCCATACCGCGGCGATAAAGCTGATATTTGGAGCTGCGGGATCATACTTTACGCTCTTTTATGTGGGTTTCTACCATTTGACGGGGGTGACCTGCGAAACACACTCAAGCTTGTTAAAAAAGGAGAATACATGCTTCCGCCCTGGATGAGCGAAGAGGCTATAGATCTGGTTCAAAGCATCCTTCAGAAGGATCCAGAGAATAGGATAACCCTTACTGGCATGTGGGAGCATCCTCTTTTGAAAAAATATGAAAATCACCCTCTCTTAAAGAGTGGGCTTGCTATTGGTCTTGCGCCGCCTCTGCCTTTGAGGATGTACAGTAAAGTCGCTAATAAGCGACAGGACATCAACGTGGAGATATTACGAAACCTTCAAACACTTTGGCATGCTGTCGATTCAGAGGAGTTGATTGAAAAACTCCTTGGCGAAGAGTAAGTGTTACCCAGTTCTCACATGGCATGACTGATATCTTTCTAACTCGTAACAATTAATAGAGGCAACCTTGAGAAAGTATTCTATCGGACCTTGCAAAAGTTCCGGGAGGCACAACTAGAGGCCTCTGGTGAATTGCCACTCAAGCACTCCAGCAGTGACTATCATCATGCTCCAGCAGCTCACATCAAGGGTTTATTCACGCCACCTCAGTCATGGAAAGGCTCTAGATTCTCCCTTGCGAGAGGAGGTTCTCTTAAAGATGGTACTTACCGAGAGCCGTCGTCTCTAGGCACCATATCAACTTATGACCCCTACCGATCCTCACAGACGCCAACTCCAAACCCACGAGCGGAGTTTGCCAATGTTACAATTCATAGACGGCCAACTCGCATGACAGGGACTGCCCCATCACCATCACCAAATTCGCCTAGTCTGACACCCGGTCCCCCCTCGTCTTACACTGTTATCCAAGGATTTAGTTCCCAGAAGACCTCTTTGGCATCGTTTCGATCCTATAGTTCCCTAGGAAGTTCTCGGTGCCGCGCAACGGGCTCGAAACATATTAGATATCGTCGGAATGTTAGCTTCCGACATCTTCACAACCTGTCAGGCAGCTACACTCCTGTCAGAAAACGGGCTTCTACTTCAGCCTCACAATATTCGCTATGTCCAAGCCAGCCAGCCACAGCGCAAGCCGCAAAAGCGCAGACCGCAACAAAACTTCAGGGACAATCTCCCGACCATGCCGACTCACCTACTACACCTACACCTCCGTTGATGGCTCGCAAACGTGACCCCGCAAAACGGGATAATGTGGCAATATCCAAGGCTAGGTTATCATGGAGAGAAGATGCGAGAAAGGTGTCAGCTGAACTTGAAAAGCTATGTGAAGAAGCATTCAACCAAGTATCTGACTCATCGTCAGCCACAAAGGGCCCCTCCGAAAGCAAAGGGGCATCAGATACTTCTTCAATGTCCTCCATATCCAGCAATGGAGAACCGGAACCCAAGGTCGAAGCCATAAAGGATTTACTCCCTAAGCAGCCACAGGAATCGCCTCGTACATATGCTGCCCTGGAGCTGGCCGAGGCTCGGCGTCGTCTTATAGAACATTCAGCACAGGCCGGTGTTAATGGACTACCAGACTATCTCAAAAATGTTATTGCTCACCTGGACCGTCTTATTGACGGAGAGACTGCGAGTTCTGGTAGCAAACCAATGACCAAGCAGACTCTGGTAGCCCGGGAGTCAACCGGACGCCTCCCAGTTATATCTGAAGAAAATTATTTTGAGCCTGAATCGAAGTCCTTCCTCCCACCACCTGAACCAACTAAACCATTGGACCTGGGTCTGGATAATTGGGAAACCAAGAAGTCAATTCGTGTTGTGAATAATGACTCTATGAAAACCAATCCAGACAGTGTCACATCGTTGACTGTCCAAAAGAAGCAAACAGGAGAATTGCCTTCGTTGGACTGTGCGTTTAAATCTTTTGAATTTTCAGGATACCTTGCGCCTGGATGCAATGAGGATGATGTCTCGTCTCCTCGGGATATGGTAGTTAGACATGACTCTGGTCTGGATTCCATTGACGAAAATCCGAATTCTGCTAGAAGCAGCGCAGCTCGTAACTCGGATGAGGCTAAGAAGTGGACTTGGTTGAAACCCCGTCAGAACAGCAGTGATACCACTGATACTGAGGTATCTAGAGATAAGCCATTTACAGATCTCCTTGATCGAATGCAAGAGGAGAGGAGAAAGTCTGCTTTTAGCAACATTGAACAACACTTCAGAGATTTAGGAGCAACGGCCGGTGGGCTTCGACTAAAGAAACTCTTCAGGAGAAAGAAAGCTCCTGGCCGCATCCACAAACTTACTGACGAGGCTGACGAAACTGATGTTACAAGTACCATTAGTGACACTGACAGCAAGCCGAACGATAGTGGTGTTGAGCTAGATGATGATAGCACAGCTGCAACAACCCCCATGCGCAAAAATAGCGATGACATACCACTGACCACTGCTAGCTATACCAACACTTGGTTTTCGAGGTTCATGCTCATGAAGCCTGCCTTCAAGGTGCTTGCGCTAAATATCTCCAAGCCACGTGCAAAGAAGGAAGTTGTCAAGATATTCAAAGAGTGGAAAAAATACGGTCTTGAGGGTCTCCACCTTGATAACCAGAACGACATTATCTGCGGATCCGTGGGGGAACTGAACTGTAAGTCGAAAGAAACACAAACTTCTGCAACTTTAATTAAGCATATTTTTATCACCATCCGGGTGGGCATCATGGAGTGGGCATTAATTTTTTTTTTTTTTTTTTTTCACTTTCGAGAGACTTACGATTCATCAATTTTAGTCCTCCGGCTTCGACCAGTCCAGTTTTCGGCCGAGTTCTTCTCCGTGCTTGAACATGGCCGTCATGCAAACCTCAGCCTTATTCGCCTTCGCCAGGACCAGGGAGCATCGTCGTCATTCTACAAAGTGGTCCAGACGCTTAGGATGGCCCTCAAGGAACGGAACTTTCTCGTCCAAGATACTCGCCGGGCTAAGAAGATGATCAAAGTCCTTGCTTAGGAACTCCCCTCGCCTCCTTTCTTCTGGAGATTGGAGGCTCGATCCATTCGGTGTAACTACGCCTTGCGAAATGTTGCATGGAAAATATCAATGTGTTACTCAATTGAACAACGACTCCAGTCGGTCTCTTTTGAACTTGGTTCGACATCACTCTTTTTTTTATATTCTGTTTTCTCATCCAATTTCCCTGCTACTTGCTGGCTTAGTTTCTTGTCACGATACCTTTATTCTCCTTTTTTTGTTCGATTTGGCTTCCTGGACAAAAGTTGCACCTTACATTCACACCCAACACAGCCGTTTTTCTTCTTGTAGCCATCTGGCACCCTTTTTCTTTTTGCCTCTATATTTTATTTTCGTTGTAGTTAAGTTGGTTGTAATATGTATTATACAAGCTGGCTGATCTCCACAATTCGTCTTCGTTACCATCGCACCGGTAAACAGGGTGGTTCTCTCTCTCTATATTTGCATAGGTCTATTACTACCGATCGATCTAAGTATTCGAGCTCCATCCGTACGGCCGGGACATATCCGTCCTTTCCACGCGACCCACATAAAATAATCACAACGAGCTAGATAAGCAAATAGGTGTATATAATTTATAATGGCAAGATCAAGGCGTTTGCTACTTCTCTCCCTCCACTGATCAGTCAAATTGAGCTATCAAAGCAAAATTAAATAACAATACGCAGTCATTGGCCCCTCGTAAGAAAGGGACATAACCACGCAACAGCAAAATGAGGGAATAGGGAGGAGATCAAGGGGTAATGGAAAGGAACGCAGCTGCAAAGTACAAAAACAAGAAAAAAGCTCAGAATACCACCCACCCAAACAAGGATATAATATGCCAAACAAAAGCCAACGGGTACCACACTCGAAAAAACACAAAGGACAATAAGGGATAAAAAAAAATTCAAATAGCCGCCCAACGTTATCTCATCCATTCTGTCCTCGCTCCCTCTCCTCTCTTTTTGTTGTATTTTTTGTTGGTTGTCATAAACCCGATGGTTCGAAGTTGATGAATGGATTGCACCATGCCTTTCCGTTCCGTACGCTCCATGCCATGATAGCTGTGCTTGCGTGAGATGTGGGGTGGTGGTCCTGCGGGAAATCGACGTGTAGTGTATGGGGAATATAAAACGTATGCGAAATAGCCAACCGGAAAAAATTCAATAGGGGAAAGATCTGGAGGGATTGGTACATGGAACGCAGTCAAAAAAGCTACAAAAGCAAAGGATTGAAAGTAGGGGCAAAAGGAAAGGGGGAATAACTGGAGAAAAAACGAAATAAAAGTAGACAAAAAGCTCAAATAGCCCCCGCCCACCGTCATGATATCGATATTTCCCAGTAATCCGATATGACCGGAAAAGATAAAGGAACTCATCAAGCCATGAATAATAGTCGCTGGAACATAAAACACAAGAAAAGACAGCAAGCCACTCGGATGTCAGGAAATGGGGAAACATTCAGGCCATTGGATCGTGCCGGCTGAAGTGTTTGCCGTAAAGTATGCAATGGCAAGTGGTATGGTAATGACGATAATTAATGGGTTGCCCCTTGTAGTGTATAAGACTTTTTCGCGAACGGAAATTCCAGAAACAGACAAGCAGAACGCACGAGATAGGATATAAGCATGAACAAGCCGATGAAAATCAGGTTGCTTGCAATTAAAAGTGATGCTGATGATGTCTTCCAGAGCGTAGAAATCTAGTTGAAGATGGTGGTGGGAGGAAGGAGTATAAGAGAACGTGGTGTTCCTCAGGAGCCTGACGGACGGATAGCATGAAGGTGCAGGTAGACGCGGCATAATGCAACGCAACGTATTGATAATGAATAATAAGGTGTTGGTAGGTATTGGAGTGGGGATAAACCTCCGCAGCAACGCGAAGAACGCGCGCCGAAAATATGGCAAGGGTATGATAGACCAGGCCTTCCAGGAATGGCGTGTATTATTGACTTTCCGCAAGACGCTGGTTTTAACACCGAGTGGACCAAGGTTGTTATGGACCAACTATCCTCCCAACACAATATTGTCCCGGGATACGTGCATTGTTTTTTTCCTTGTGGACGGTTTCAACCTGCTGTATGAATGTATGCTGATGCTCCTTTGTTCAAGACACGGCCGCCTTATGAAATAACCAGCTCTCTCCCTCTCTCGTGACCGGCACTTGAGACGGGTGTGTCTTCCATCGATCGATTAAGAAAAAAATCTCCACTCTCCCATGACGAATTATTAGAGTTAGATCCCGTAGCCCTTCAATTCTCCCATTCACCATGGCTGTTGTGATCTGTTCTGCACTGGAATAACCCCAGTCTTTCACGCAAGAGATGGTTGGAATTATTTGTTCAGCCCTCCCCGGTTGAGAGCATTCAACATGTCGCTATCAGTAGAAGTGCGAGTGCGTTGACCTTCGGGAGGTCCCAGCATGTCACGCACACTAAGCCCACTCCGTCCTGGGATAGCGGGTTGTCCCGGTGGTGGGGTCGGGCCGCCTTCCCTGGCTGGCGGAATTGAGGATGCGTTATGCAGGGGTTGAAGTGTTGGCAAATGCGCATTGGTGGTTGGGGTATGCGCACCTGCACGTGGAGGGGTGCCCTGGGCAGGGTCATACGAGTAAGACGAATGGGACGATAGACGTCTGTCCTGTTGGCTCGTAGCATAATAAGGCCCGGGGGCGGGAGCGGGATGTGCGTAGCTCGGACCGGCAGTGGCCACGGAAACCGGAGGCAAAGTCGGCGGCTCGCCGTACTCGGGTCCACCTATGGAGTTGCGGCGGGGAAGAGGCGCGCGCTGCGATAGAGAAGAGTATGAGGAGCCAGAATTTGAAGACGAGTGGGATGGCTGACGAATGGAGGAGTGGGAGGGAAAGTCATCGTCGGTGAAGGGGCGTTTGCGACTCACCGGATCTTGAATTATTGGTGGTGGATGAGCCATGTGCGGAGGGAGATTGGCTCGGTCATCAGGCCTTCCGTATGGCGGTGCATACATGCCCTGTGGTGGTGGCAAAGTTTGCTCTGGGGCTGGGTGGGCAATTGGTTGATGTGGGAGAGGCTGTCCATGAGGACCATACAGGACTACGCCTTCGCCGGGCCGTCCTCTACCAGCTGGATGGTTTCGAAGATGGGGGTAAGCAGTATGTGCAGGCACAAATGCTTGTGCCTGCGAAGAGACCGGAGTAAACATGCATTCTTGATTGAACCGAACACAGTTACTGCATCGACCATCCTGAGAGGTATCAAAGCCAGAGCATCGAATCTGGATAGACTCATGTTAAATTCTGAAGGTATGGATTAGAAGAGGAAGAATGCTACTAACCTTGCGTCGGCGGCAGTATCGACAAGCTATGGCTGTTCTCTGCCTGGGAGCTGCTGCCTGGTAAACGACTGGCGGCGGGCCAGGTGGAGGTGCGCCGTACATGTCTGGTGGACGTTGATACGGAGCGGCATGTGGATGTGGGTGAGGTAGTCGATAAGGGTCCTGCTGCGGATGTTGTTGCGGGATCGCAGTCATTCCGCCGGCTGCTGGAGGGTATTGATACGGGGACTGAGAATTGGAAGGCTTGAGTCAGGTATAGATTAGCAAACGCACCAGCTTATCACAAATGGAAAGAGAGAAGCAACAAGAAATAAGAGAAATCACGGCTGAACATGCGATATGAGCAAATTAACATAGAATCGGACCAAGAGAACGGAGGAGAAGAGCAACTAAAACATATATATAATAAAAAAAAAAAAAAAAAAAAACGGATAGAAAACACAGACAGGATCAGCAGCGGCAGGAAGGAGCTACGCTATATATAAAAGCAAGGAGGTTCAAGGGAGACAGACTGGATATTGGGGAGAAGAAGGATAGTCAGACTGGGAAGTATTCCAGGGTGGCGGCGGCGGAAGCTGCTGTCCTTGACGGTCGGGGTCGTTTGACATTTGTTGTTTCGTGGTCTCGATTGGAGAAAGCAGACACAGGCAAGACAAGTGGATCAGACGGGAAGTGCCTTATGCTTATATATCTAATCGGCAATAAGCAAATGGGAAATACAGGCGGCGTATGAGGAGGCCTGTAAGCCGTGACGGAATGGACAGGGGTGGGTGCAGGATGCAGGATCCAATGTTGACAAGAAGCAATCGAAACGGCAACGAACTTGCGGGACCACCGGGACCCGGGACAGGGATGTCACTAGGTCGGATATCGTTTCAAGATGCAAAAAAGAAAAGAAAAAAGATCCCTTCAGTGTCTCTTTTTTCTTTCAATTTTGTAAACTTGCGGTAAAATTTGTATCTGATCTGAAAATATCTCAGGCCCAAGTGCCACGACACCGACAAGGAAGACTGCAGTTGCTGATTCGTGGGCCTAGCATAGCCCTATAGGCGAGAAAAGAGGGTGTGTGTGTGTGTGTGTGTATGTGTGTCTTTATGGCGTATGTCGGATCTTGGAGAAGTCAGAAACAGAACTGTCGATAAACAAGGTACGAACGAACGAAGGCAGGTAGGTATATGTGTTTCTTCTTCTTCTTCTTCTTTTCTCAAGATTTTAAGAGTGATAGCGAGGAGGCAGGCAAGCAAGTAGCAGTAAACGTCAACTTCACAGCCGGAGGTAGGTGGTGATAGGCAGATGGGTGACTGTGATGGGAATGGCGTGGTAGGAATAATAGCAACAGCAGCAGTCAGGCGGGCAGGCGGGCAGGTAGACGAACCGGCTTTTTAAAACCAGTCTAATGCAGGGTATCAAGCAACTGAAGTATAGGACGTAACACCGAGGACGGGTTCCGGCAGTAGTATCAGTCTATAATCTGTGTCGTTTGCAGGTCCCTTTCCCCCCTACTCCAGTATATATGTCTTGTTTTCTTGTCTTTTTTTTTTTTTTTTTTGAAAATGGTCGTCGTGGCAAGGCAAACCTATGGGAGACCGAAAGATGGAGAAGAAGAAGCCACCTCTTGATTCGGGAGGGGTTGACTCCGGCTGATTGCCAGCAGAGATTAAAGAGCGTGGGTTATCCACCCCCCCCTCTCCTCTTATGCAGCTGATGCGGACCACACAGGAGAGATGTTCGAACCGGAGGATTTCTCACAGTGAAAAGGAAAGAGAGAGAACGTGTGTGAAAGAGAGAGGAGCCGATTTGAGCGGTGAGAAGAGGCTGTCCCTGGTGTCGTATTTGCCCAATCTTCCCACCGGAGAAGCCCTGGCCCGCTACTGACGCACTCGATTTGACGGAGAAGTAGAAGAGGGAGGAGCGGGATCCGCAGAAGAGGTGCTGATCGTGAAGAGAGGAGCGGAACCGGAGGGAGTTCTGACTCTCTTGTCTTCTCTTTTCCTCACGATCCCGACGCAAGCAAAAGAAAAAGGAGATCGGTATTATTTGGCAACAAATGACGCAGTTCGCAGAGTACAAAGGACGCCAGCCACCCGGAAGTAGATACAACGAAGAAATCAAGAAACGGAGGAGAGGAAAAGAAACACGGAAAGCAAGCAAAACGGCAAGAGAGAGAGATAGAAGAGAGAAAGAAGAGACAGAAGAGAGAGAGATAGAGAGAGAGAGAATCGAGAGAGAGGGAGAGGACGGGGGGGGTTTACCTTTTTTTTCTGCGAGTCGAAAAGAGACGGCGAGCCACCCACTGGCAAAAAGAAAGAGAGAAGGAAAAGAAGAAGGAGAAGAAGGAGAAGAAG